GAGAGAAGTTTGGCGTAGATGTCAAGTCGACTATCGAACAAGGGAACAGAAGGTAAGAACTGCACGATGTGAACGAAGCATACGACATAGATAGACGGCCATTATTCGTTGGACGTTTCATCGTGGGATTAGGCGCTGGGGTGCAACCTGTCTGTCAAGGGCGGAATAGAGTAATAGAAGACAAGAAGTCACATGTATATGTTACATCCATCTGAGCGAGTATCCAACTATGAACTCTCTTCATCAATGGTCTGTACGTACTATTGGCAGTGGTGCCAACTCGTACAAGTCATGTTGCACAATGCTGGAAGATCATGCTGTTCGTACATCCAATCAACACTTAAATGTTCAAGCATATGGCATGCACATCAGTTTCGTTGCTACTCAACTATGGCGAAAATGAAAACATTATTCGATTAATGAGCATACACCAAGAGGCAGAAAAATGATAGGTGACTACATGTGTCGGATGTCTCGGAGTACTCTACATGATTATGTGAGGCTCGGGTTTTTGGTGATGGCCGAGCGAATGTGTTTAGGCTTTTTTGTCACCCTTGAAATGGCGTTGGGTCATAAGACTTGTCACTTGGACTCTACCAAGGAGCGTTGTTGGCTCGAATCGCTGGTTTTCAAGATCAACTATTTCACTTTTTATTGATATGGGCGTTCACAGACGTGGAATACTGTCCATACTCGATACCTCAGGGAGCTCATCCGTAGTATCAAACGCTTCTCAGGTGGTAGAGTCACTGCATTATATCCCTGACTTCCGATATATCTGAATTATGTGACAGCATCGACGCTACCCAAGACGGGAATCGGCAATAACAACATGCCTTATAAGAATTTTAGCATTGACTAACTTAGCGCTCGCGGAATCTTAGTTGATTTTGCTAGAACTATGACGTAAAATGTCGGCATTGACTAGACGTGTATGGTTTCAATGCATGTGTTGTAGCCATAGATACAGTGCACTTTGGCTTACTGTAAACTTGGTAATATATAAGCATGCAGCTTTGTTGAGAAAGCCTAGATGGATGGGATCAAATAAGGAAGTGTGCGAGGTCTTACGCGTACGGATGCTAGGCAACTTGCCGTGTAAAGGTGAAGCCACCAATATTAGGCCTGGGCAACAGTTTGAAGAGATCTTGGCATACAAGAGGCCAAGCTATGACCTTGAGACAAATTGATGAACTCATGATAAGATGATCTTGTAGATTATGTATGATTGATTATGCGCAAACTCAAAATAAATAAGCTTCAAATCCTTCAGTTGGTGTGTTATTGTTTATAGCCAATATCATATTGTCTGTGACATCCGGAAGACCCGGAGGTTAAAAGTCGGAGGTCGGAAGCACGAGACGGAACTTCCATCACATGTAGACGGGGTTAAAACGCTACCGTGCTTCCGTGGATGATATAATTTCCTATTGTCCTTGGGATCGGACTTTTGTAGAACCCCAGATCATGATCGGTTGCCGCGGAATAGAGTTCAAGTCAGGGGTTTTGAGACGGTAATGAGAAAGGGAGTTTCTATGGGCAGCTGTCGAATGATGGTGGTTGATGGGCACGGGCGAACAACACCATCATCAGGTCCATGTACGTCAGCCAAATCGTTTACCCTTGGAAGCAGAGTCTGCCCCTGTTTGAGAAGAGTCAAGACAGACAGAAGGTGGAGAGATGCTATAGATTAAGTATCCTCTCTCACGAGAATGATGCCATGTTCACCTCGAGGTGAGATAAGCTCACGGCCTCATCAGTCTGCCTATAGTTATTTTGTCCACGTCTAACATGTCACTTTCTATGACTGGTCCATTTATCATATTCATGGCATGTCAGCAGTGTAAAGTTGGTAGCGGACGATCCATTCTAACAAGACCCTTGTCTAGCTCGGCTCGGGCTCTTCTTCTTTTTCTTTCTGCGTGCACCTGTAGCCCTGTAATTGGTCCACTGGCTCCCCTACAAGCCGGCATCCGGCAACAGGGCGGGGGTTGGAGGCTTGAGCCCAGGGTATTCCCTGTTTGTGGCTTGTCTTAGTGCTCCCGGTCGACTTAGACATGTCGTGTGCCCTCAGACTGTCATTAACTCCGGGTACAGGCAGCGAAAATACTGGCCCAATACCATGAATTACCACCTATGATGGATCACAGATCAGAAACTGCCAAGCTGAGTTGTTCTGAGCTGAGCTTAGCTTAGCTGAGTCTTGTACCTACCTATGTAGCAGTCAATATCAAATACCTACTCCCCGAGCGTTCCGTCCACTCTGTTGCATCAAAACCCGCCTCTTCCCCAACTACAAACGGACTTGTTGTGTTCCCTCTTCTCCCTATTACTCAGACGAATCGCATTGCATTGTATACATTATACCCTTTTGCATTTCTTTCTTCTTGTTTGTGTTGACTTGGCAGTTGGTATCGCTATATCCTGACTTGCACCTTTCTCAGGCTGCCTACCAGTTATATCTAGGACCTCACCAACAGCGACAAGCCTCATACTTCATCGCCACCCTAAACTCAACTCAATACTCGGCCGTCGAAACCTTGTTCGCCATGGGAGTCGGTTCTTTTCTTGAGCCACTCATCGTCGTGACTCTCCTCTTCGGGGGTGCCTACTTCAACAGAAGTAAGGACTACAATTTCTGGACAAATAAGTCAGGAATCGCCAGCATCAAGAGCTATAAGCGCTCTGATGATTTACCGAAGCGAGACTCGACCGATAGTCTTATGAGTGGATGGAGTGGTTCGCGATCACCGAGTCTCGACTCAAGTTCTCAACCGGCTCTACGCCGTCGCAGGCTTCAAGTGCTTGGCTATAAGCGCATCGTTTCTACACCAAACACTCACATATTTGAGGATCGACTTCTGAGCCGTCTTCTCAAGAAGTTGCCATTCTTGGTCGAGTGTTGGTACTGGTTTCTTATCTACTTTGTGTACCAGGTCGGTCGTGCCATCACTGCATTGACTCTCGATGAGGGCACAGTCGATGTCGCCCGTAGACATGCTCTCCAAATCATCCACCTCGAACAACGGCTTCACATCTTCTGGGAGATAGACTTTCAGAAGTGGTTCCTCGCTCGACCTACTCTTCTCCACTGGATCAACCGAATCTATTCATTCATCCATATCCCTGGCACCATTACCTTCCTTGTTGTCCTCTACTACTTCACCACCACCCGACATCGCCGTTATGCCGCTGGCCGTGTGAGATCTGATACGGTGGCTGCTGGTCCTGCTCTCTACGAGGCCCGTCGACGAACCATGGCTATGTGCAACCTCATCGCTTTTGTTGTCTTCACCAGCTGGCCTTGCATGCCTCCCCGTCTTTTGAGTGATCCTGAATACAAGGGTCCTGATGCTGAGGAGGCCAAGAGCTTTGGCTTTGTCGACAGTGTTCACAGCGGTACTGGAGAGAGCAGTGTCTGGACCACTAACCGATTCTGCAACCAATATGGTAAGTGAAAGTCACATATATCTTGACCCCATACAGGGCTAACTAAGATTATAGCTGCAATGCCATCTCTGCATTTTGGTTACTCTCTCCTTGTCGGCCTTACCGTCGCCACTATCCCTATTACCGGCCTACGATCTACCTCCTGGAAGCGAATAATCATCGTTGCTGCGGGCATGTCATACCCAGCCTTGATTCTCACTGCCATTGTCGCCACAGCCAACCACTTCATCCTCGATGCCGTAGCCGGTGCTATGGTTTGCTCTATTGCCTGGAACTGTAACGACTTCCTCCTCAACTTTTGCATCCTTGAGGATTACTTCCTATCCATGCTTCGCCTTCACAAGCCGGTGAACTGGACCGACCCTGAAACAGCTGTCGAGCCTGAGTTCCAGACTGGTCTCCTGAGTGAAGACGCCTAAGACGCGTAAAAGAGCTTTCGAAAACGAGACCCACGAATTTTCTTCCTAAATATCCGACTCCGTTAATCCATCTGATTCAAGAGGGGAGCCTTTGTCTTATTTGCATAAGTCGTTTAAACATTTTCAAAACATTCACAAGGCGTTCCATGTCTGGACAGGAATGTAGTCTGTGGACGTAGTGTTAAGTTTGGCGACGGTGGCATGTTGTTAATTTGAAGGAGTCGGGCCATTGATATTCGGAACAGTGGGGAAATTTAGACGTGCGCAGAAAGGGGTTCAGTATACCACGCCATACGATCGGGTAAATAAGCTGATACCAATAATACCATCAAAACGAATATTATACTCTGTACATTAAGTGAGACTGGCTGCCGACACATTCTAATGTACTTGATATGCCCTGGGTTCAATGCTTATGAGCGTTGACGAAATAGAATGAAAGTTATATGTCCTGGGCTCTTAGACGAATCACAACTGAAACTCGACGTTACCCAGGACTTCTATCCTAGATGACAGAAGGACTTGGGCAAATTTAGTATAGACTTATTAAATTGAGTATAACTTTAGCAAGCCTTCAGACTGGTTGTTTTTGGCACCTTGGTTCACTGTTGGAAACTCTCTTGCACATTGGGGAAAGGTTTAAGTCGCAGAGCTTCTGGTGAGAAATGAGAAGCAAAAACCTGATAAAGTTTGTCCTAAACTTATCATCAGCATGATCCTCGGCAAGGATCATGATAACGAAACTTGCTACGGATTCTCTTATGGTATCTGCATATTGGTGGCCTCTTGTAAGATTGTATGAATAACCTAGTCATTTACGTGGTCAAGGCAGATTTACGTATTTGCAGTACGCGGTCATTGAATTAATTCAAAGCTATTACATGCCTCATGCGCGTGGCGACGCAAGCAGAACTTCATCTCCCACCAATAAACTGCTGTCATGATACTTTTCTGGTAAGCCTTGTGAGCACGGGTACATGTGTCTCTGCTAAAACTGCACCATTTGACAGCAGATACAGCCACGAGTTCAGGTACCCCTGCTAAGATGGGGCAGGGAGCTTCTGTGGCGGGGCACGTCGTCATCTGTGATCCGTTTGGGCAAGAGACAGACAGCTGCCTTTCGCTTGCTTGCGTTTACTCACATGCCACCACCTGAACTATTCTTCATCTTTCTTTTTCATCGTAACCATTTATATACCGTCACTTCATACTCAAAATCTTGTTGTGGCTCCGAATAAAAAAAACAACCCGAGGACAAAGGCTATTCAAGACGAAAATTGAGAGCGACAGCTCTATTACTTCTTCCCATGTCGCAGCAGGATTCTGGGGCAGCTGATGCCCCGCCACAGCAGCCTTCACGACCATCTGCGTCACCATCGAACAGTTTCTATGCGCTGAGCGATGATGAGGAGGGCGAGTACAACACGATTAGAAATGCCGAGACTGGAAGAGGTGTAAAGCTTCTCTTTTCCAAGAGTAAGGTGAGTAACATCCGAGCCTATGTCCTGCGCAAGAGGTTGCGCTACAGAGTGACGGACGACATCTAACAATCGCAGGTTTATGTTCATCCAACACCCTCTGCAAAGGACAATATTCCAGGATATATCGCACTTCTCCAGCAACGAGGTCATCACGAAGAGCGCCCTTCTTCATCTGCTTCCAATGAATCAACGACGATCGCCTCCTCGGATCTACTTCTTGCCTGGATTCCCGAATCTGCCCTTGGAGATTCCGCCAGCATCTACGTCAAGGTTGACCTTTGCGATGGAGACTCACCCCCGAAACAGTCTTACCTTGTTCCTCCCCCGCCGACCGTTACTAGCCATGTTGGATCTGTCGGTGGATATGCGTTTGCGATTCCCGTGAGCGCCGTCTATTCGCTCCTCGTTCGGCCTCCGAGCCTCGGCTGGTGGTATGGATCCGTCATCATCAACTCCCGAGCGGGCGACAGTTTTCCCGCCCTTTTTTTCCACGACAATGAGTGCCAAAGTACGATTCTCCAAAAGAAGAAGATCGCACGTGATACATTTGATCCTTTCGGAGAATCAGGACAGATGTTCTGGGGTGGCGATGAGGTTGTGAAGTGGCTACGTCGCTATGTCAAGATTGAGCGATCTGGCGCTGAACCAAACATTTACTTGATCGAGCCATCAAAGGAGGACAGTGAAGCATTTGGCCACAAACTCACTTCCAGCCCCTCGCAAATTGGTCGTCAGGACAGCAATGTGGGAGCGCAGCGCGGCGCTGCAGGACCGTCAAATCGAGATGCAGAGATGGACCCTTTCGTCAAGTTGATCAAGGAAACTGGATGGAATATTATGGAGAAATTCAGCAAAGTAACCACCTTTACGCGGAGAGCGGCCCAAGATATTGTCGAGAACCCCAACTTACCGCCACAAGTAAGACGACTCTTGAGAAATCCGGAAGTTCAGACGCTTCAAGACGAGTTTGACAGCGCCAGGATCTATCTCGCTCGCTGGGCTATGGGCATCCAGGAACAGAGCGACCGTGATCGGAGACAGAGGATATGGTCTGCTAATGATGTTATGGAGCTTGAGGATACCGATGTTGGCGAATTTGAGCTTCTTGAAGGAGCCAGTAACCTTTCACTTGAGGAACGCCGAAAGACTGTGACAATGAAGGAGTGGAATACCTTCTTTGACCCTCAAACTGGCCGATTATCGGTCACTATCGATGAGGTCAAGGAGCGTGTCTTTCACGGAGGTCTTGATTCTGAGGACGGTGTTCGAAAGGAAGCATGGCTTTTCCTTCTTGGCGTTTATGAATGGTACAGCACTGCCGATGAGAGAAAGGCACAAATCGCCTCACTACGTGACCAGTACTACAAGCTCAAGCTTTCGTGGTGGGAGAGGCTAGAAGGTGATGGAGGTGAGGGCGAGACTGGAGAGTGGTGGCGCGAGCAAAAGGGACGAATCGGTAAGTTGCTCACCACCTCCCAACCTTTCTCCCCCAAGGAGTATACTTATATTTCGTCTATAGAAAAGGATGTCCACCGAACGGACCGCAATGTACCCATTTTCATGGGCGAGGATATCCCCCATCCTGACCCAAGCTCACCCTTTGCCGAAGTTGGCACCAATGTCCACCTTGAGCAGATGAAGGAGATGCTCCTGACCTACAACGAGTACAATAAGGATCTAGGCTATGTTCAGGGTATGTCAGATCTCTTGGCACCAATCTATGCAGTGATTCAGGACGACGCCGTTGCATTCTGGGGTTTCCAGAAGTTCATGGAGCGTATGGAACGCAACTTTCTGCGTGATCAGTCTGGTATGCGCAACCAGCTTCTGACTCTGGACCAACTTGTTCAGTTCATGGACCCAGCACTTTGGAACCATCTACAAAAGGCAGACAGCACCAACTTTTTCTTCTTCTTCCGCATGATACTTGTTTGGTACAAGCGGGAGTTTGCTTGGCTTGACGTTCTTCGATTATGGGAGGGCTTGTGGACTGATTATATGAGCGCGAACTTCCATCTCTTTATCGCGTTGGCAATTCTTGAGAGACACCGGGATGTTATTATGGAGCACTTGCAACATTTCGATGAGGTGCTCAAATATGGTAAGTGATTTTGGTCACCAAGCACACTGATCATATGCTAATAGTACATAGTCAATGAACTCTCCAACACAATCGATCTTGAGGCGACTCTGATCCGGGCAGAAACTCTCTTCAAGAGGTTCCAGCGACTTGTTGATGCTGTCGACAAGAAGCAGAACTTCCCAGCTCCTCGGTTCAACCAGAAGGAACCCTCAAAATCTTCTGAGCAGACCGAATCAGGGCCCTCCAAGGGTGGTAAGGCATCTGGCAAGGGCAAAGCTGCCGAGCCAGCGGCGCCTCCGCCGCAGCCAAAGACGATTACACCTGAGTTGCGCAAACTATTAAGCAAGGAGGTAGAAGTTCTCCCGAGGAAAACGGTTACGCAAAAGGGCGATGGTATGCCAAAAAAATGAGTTTCTGAGAATAAGTAGTTGAGGTTCTGTTGGTTAACGACTGCTGCATGTATTTTTATGCTTTAGGGGGTTTCTTGGTTCCAGTAATTTTTGGCACGGAGTTCATGGCATGACAATAAGTTAGCAATGTTTCGATATATATAAGAAGCCCTTTATTACCATAGGATCTGAATACACAAGATGCATATCATGATTCCTTGGTACAGGGCATAATATCGAGTAAACAAAAGTCCACATTACCAGGTAAAACGCCGCTCTATCCTATCAAGGAACGTAAACGCCAGACATCCAACGTATGCTTCACTTCTTCTTACTAGAACGGGCTTTATCTGTATCCCCTTGGTCCACTGGGCAAGCCTCCTCTCCTCAATCCAGCGTTGCCGCCGCCACTTGCTTGATCATACATTCCGCCTGGCGCAAATCGATCTTCATAACCGCCGCCGCCGCCACCACCATTATTTCCGCCGGGAGGGTTGAAAGGTCCTTGACTTCCAGCCTGAGGACTCGTTGTTCGCGATCCTCCTCCCCAAAGCCTCTGTCGCAATCTATCCTGCGCAGATCCTCCACCTCCACCTCCCGAAGCACCACCAGGTGGCACGCTCGCCGTTTCGGGCCTACCGAATTGACCGCCCGTGTTCTGGTAGCTACCCGCGCGCTGCTGACTTGGCAGTGGTCGCCTATTGATATCGCCGCCGCCGCCGCCAGGTTGCAACGATGCAGGTGTTCGTCCACCTCCAGCCCGAAGACTCTGAGGCGCTTGTTGTTGTGGCTGTTGCGGTCCGTTGTCCCATAGACTACTCAGACCACCGTGTTGCTGTCCTTGAGCGCCGAGGCGTTGGCCGGCTTGTGGTGTCATGACAGGCTGTATGGGTTGTTGGGCTGGGGCCTTGGGATCCGGGGGCAGCCATGAGGGGAATGGGCGCCCCTTTTCTGTATAATAGCCACGGAGAACACGGCAGACGTGAGTATCGTCTTCGGTGTCGCCGTCTTGTTCGCCGGAGAGGAGATTCTGGCGGAGGGAGGAGATTTGAGAAGATGTCTTCTGGACGAGGTTGGAGTACCAGGACGCCATAATGTGTTGTCTTATAGTGTTTCTTTGGTAGCTAATAAGTTTGTAGAGTTTCGCATCGATGGTTGTTCAGGTGGTATGAAGCTGCGCCTGTCTCGCGATGGGCTAGCTTGATGTAGGTTGAGGAAGCGGTATCGAAGCCCAGAGAATTGCTTGAGCTGTAATTGAACGTCTGAGGGGCGAGCGCAATGCTCTGTCGCAGTCGCAGTTGATTAGGTGGTGCAGCCAGCTGCTGTCGTGGTGAGCGAGGGGTATAAGAGAGGTATTATCAGTGTCAAAAAGGTCAGAGATGGCCTATTTGAAGAGCGGAGTAGGAAGATGGAGGTGAAGCAGTGACGTTTATAAAGGGATTCTTGGCCGTGAAAGTGGAAGTGGGCTGGGGGAGTTTCATAGGTGCTTGAACTAAAATGCGCTGTAGATTTGGGCGGGGCAATGCAAGGTAAGCGGGTAGGACTCGGGAGTGGAGCAAGGCCTACATGAAGCTTTTGTCTCAACAGAGCCTCTCATAGATGACAAGACCCATACAGGCATGAGAGGGAAAATAGTTTCAAATCATTTCAAGTACAACAAACTCATATAAAAACATTGGTAGCCTATTTGGTATCTATACCTTGCCAAGAATTAGCTCAGCAAAAATGAAGCATATCGCCGTGTGATATCCTCAGACAGAAGGTACACAGTGATGTATGCTTTTCCACCCTTCGTAAACCCCTTTTTTCCATCTTCCTTAGAAAATGCTAACTCCTCAAACGCCGAAGCTTGATTTTTGAGACCGTCAATTACCATGTGAGATCGTTGGTGAGCATCAGCTTCTCCTTCTCCTCCTGTCTGGGCTTCTTGTTCTTCATCTTGATAGCACGTCCACGCTTTCGCTTGTTGCCAGACTTCTCGGTCTCGGACTCTTCGCTGTCATCATCATCCTCGTCTTCGTCCTCCTCCTCGTTTTCGCTGTCGAGCCAGTCCTCAAGGTCGCCGAGCTCCTCGTCACTCTCCTCAATATCGGAAACATACTCAACCTGATTCTCCAGGTTGTCGTCTTCCTCCTCACTCCAATCAACCTCCTCACCATTCTCGTCAAGGCCCTTGTCCATGTCCTTATCACGTTGACCCTCGCCGTCGCGCTCCATGGCATTGAGAACCTTCTTCCAGATGGACTCGCTGACATTGAGGGGCTGGTCACCGTATGCTCCCTGTCGAAGACGCTCAACAAGCTCACGCTCAATGGTTCGTTCCAGCTTAGCAGCAGCCTCGGCTTTGCGCTCACGAGCCTGCTCACGGTGTCTGATCTTGGGCGCCATCTTAGGTACAAGCTTTTCACCCAAGCGTTCCTCCTCGGCGGCAATACGGCGCATGCGAGTTTGGACCTGTGTCAAGCGGGTGAGACGTTGCTTGCATTTGTGAATTAGGAAATTAGGCCAATATATGAGCTTCTCGTCTATAGTGGACAACGCCTTGGAGTAGTTGTTGGGTAGTTTGTAACGTTGCCACTACCACTATCGTCAGTCTCTGCTCACCTCACGTAACAACATGAATACTTACAAGTTTGCTTGGCAAGTGACTTCTCTCCGGGGTTTTAACTAGCAAAAAGAGCTTGCCAGCGTCTTCCCTGACCGTAGCGTATCGAGAGTTTGCGAGAGGACATGATTGACGGTTACAGAGACCTGTAACATTGTACTCATTACGGCAGAATGTCTGAGCTTTGTTGGTTCTGGATAGAAGTTAGCCTATCATCTTTGTATAAAGCCTTGCCAAGCGACAAAGGCTGAGTAGAGGAAGCAGCAACTGACTTAATCTTAAACGCGCAAAATTGTTGACCGATGATTTGCCACACAATCTCATCAGAGCTCATTTTTGCAGTGTGATGGCTGGTTTGGAAGTTGGCGTTGTGTTTAGTGTTGGTGTTGGCGTTGGTGGTGTGTCTTGTCTAAGTGTCTAACCAGACGGAAGGCGACAATGCTTCAGGGTGTGGGGGTAGGAACACCGTTTAGACAGCGCGATCTATAATCACTGGAAAGAGTAACAGCTGATCCGGGAATTGCTGGCGAGCTTGTTGAGGTCGTGCCGTGTCGGGAGATGAGTGTATAGAGAAAGTCACAGCAAAATGTGGATGTCAGATAGGCCGTCGAGGCGAAATCTCGGGTCGCCGCACAGAGCAAGAGTTATTTCAGCTCTACCGAGAATCTGGCGTCGTCCTGATCCAGGATCTTTTTGTTGATTCTGGACGTGGTGATATGTGGTTTGCGACTGCGATGAGCGAGGTAGAGAGATCTTGGAGTTTTTTGGTTTTTTTTTACTTGACTGCGCTATCAGATAAGAAGGGGACCCACTGGCCCACCGAGACGATTCACTACAGCCACTTACAGCGTTCCATTTTCAATGCCCACTTGGGACCGGGAAATAGTACCTCCGAATGGGTGACATCGCTGCTCTCGGTGAACCTGGAAACGAATACGTACCTGGTTGACGGCTGAGATAGCATCACCTTGGAACTTGGCCTACTGTAGCCGCGTAACACACACAACGTCAACGGATTTTCCTTTCGGCCGCGTCCAACACAACCAGTTGCTTCGCCGCTTACGACTCGATCTTCCCTCTATACCCGATCAAATATCCTTCATCTCCCCACGGGGAACTTACGTCGCCGACATCGCCGCATAGCTCGTCCTCTCCAATTCCATAAACACCATCGCCCAAGATGCCGACCGCCGGCCTCAAGACTATCATCGCCCTCTCCTTCGTCCTCGCCGTCGGATTCCTCCTTGTTATTCTCTCCTGCGCTCTGTGGAAGGTGTATTATCCTCTCCTCGTCGTCGCCACCTATGTCATTGCGCCTATTCCCAACTGGATCTGCGGACACTGCGCCAACCCGGATGACTTCGTTGAGAGCTCTGGCGCTGCGGTTCTAGACTTGGGACGCTTCTTTACAGGTTTCTTTGTTGTTATGGGAATTGGTAGGTCCTGCTCAGCCGGCGCAACGCTGCTGATGCCAATGGAATGATCATCGTGCTGGAACTCACGTAGCTGACTGTTACATAGCTCTCCCTGTCGTCCTTGCTCACTCTGGTCTCATCGAGGTGCAAGCCATGGTCATGTCCATAATCGGCGGTCTATTGATCTACGGAACCATTGTCAGCTTCGGCATGTTTTTCCACGAGGAACAAGATTTCTGAATGCGCGCGCAATACGGTGTCGCATAAACCAGAAACACGCGGAGTTACTGAAACAAAGACGGATACAGAATGTTTCGTTTCAGGAAGAGGAGGATAATCGCTAGTATAAAGCCTGTATAACGCGTGTATGATCACAGAAGACAAAGGAGTCGCATGGGCATTCAGCGGGGTCTTAACGTCAGTCTCGGCTATTCGCAAGGAATACTTGGGCTTCAGGACGGCAAAGGAAGGTTATAGTCGGTCGTCAAAGGTGTCCTTGTTTATGAGGAATATATCGTATCATCTTCTGCTATGTTCCGGATGTTTTGCCCTATCCCATCCGTCTATGTTGTTGAATTCCAAACCAAAAACTCCGACTATGTGTACGTTGAGGTATCATGTCCAAAGTCAAATACTGTGCCTGTCCATCCATCTGATCCAATCTGGCCTCTTCATTGAGATCCAAGCTATGCCGCGTCTCTAAACACACCCATAGGACCGGCAAGTTTGGTAAACATCTCGTCCCTTTCACCTTCAGGGGTACTCAGGATTGTTACCGCACCTCCAGCTCCAATTCTCCAAACTTCTCTGGGCTCTGTCTCGCCCTCTTCCGCTGGTGCCACCTCATCGTCCCATCGAAACATGGTTCGGATAGTGACACTCCAGTCTCCTGCACCTGCGACATCCATATATCCCACAACACCAGAGTAGAGACTTCGCTCATGCTGGCCCTCAATGATTTGTAGAAGCTCACAGCTGCGCTTTTTCGGCGCCCCTGTCATACTTCCAGGAGGTAAAGCCGCAGCAAGGGCATCCAGACCGGTATAAGGGCAGTGGGAGTCAAAGCTGCTTCGGCGAGCGCCATGAGGCTTGTTTCCATTGCGGCCTGGTAGTTGCCCATTGACCACAGTGATCATCTGGAAGACCGTGGCATATTCCTCCACCTTCATGAGGTCAGGAACTGTAACATGGCCAACGCCACAGACACCGTGCAAATCATGTCGAACCAGATCGACAATCATGAGGTTCTCAGCCACTTCCTTGGGCACGTGAAGGATCTTCTCGGCTTGTGCGAGGGTTGACACAGCTTCTGACTTGCGAACTGTTCCCTTCATGGGTCTCATTGAGCATAGTCCGTTGGTGTCGTATCGGAGGAAACGCTCAGGAGAACAACTTAGCATTGTGGCGCCACCTAGACGAATGAAAGATCCAAAAGGAGCTGGCTGTCGCTTCCTCAACGTCTGATATATGGTCCAAGGGCTTCTCTCGTTGTTTCTTGAACGAGGCCTTGCCATGGTCGTTTGCGATGTGAGACAAAGTTCGTAAGACTCACCCGCTGCAATGAAATCCTGGCAAACACGAACTTGCTCTTCATACCTGTCCGGCTGTGGTGTTGTGATATTGATTTCCTTGTTCTGGGCACGGTTTTCAATGACATGCCCATTGGCTCCGTTGCTCATCTTGATCGCATTCCAACAGTCGGACTGTTGAATTCTTTCCGTCATCCTATCAAGCCATGAATCGTTTGATCCTCGAGCCTTCAGGTTTTGAACATATGCAACGCCAGCTCTGTGATCTAGAACAATGCTCTTCGTTACCCAAGCTAGACAAATGTCTGGTCTCTTGTGGCCCCTATCTTCCGGGACCATCTTCTTCTCAAGGCCGTGTAGTCCCATCTCATAGGTGATGAAACCCATGAAACCGCCCTTGAAAGCTGAATTTGAACAGTCATATCCAGGAGGATGGCTTCGCGTCTCCCAGAAGTCTGAGATGACCTCCCATACATTAATTGTGCTGTTTTCGAGGCTTATCATCTCGGTTTTGTCCTTTCCGTCTGTACTCGGGTGTCGTACTGTAACATAGTCGTCGCATACGTTGTACTCGAACCGCAGTGCATCGTCAACTTCGAGAGCCACGATGCTGTTCAATGCCAGCGCATCTCCGTTCTTAGAACTCGACGAGTCAAGGATAACGGTCTCTCCCTTTTCCAGCCCCAGCATCTCCACGAGTTCCGGCACGCCAGCTCCCTGAGGCAGGGTAATTGTGCGATATGTGTATTCTGATCCCCTCGCAAAGTCTCTCAACGAAATTTCCGATGAGTTTGAAGTCGACCACCAATTACCCAAGTGTACCTTATGCGCAGCTGCAGACTCCAGATGATTCGGCGGCGAAAGTGTCTGAATCTCTAGTAAAGGTCCCTGCACTCGCCGTCCGCGGTACTTGTTCCATTGCAGCGCAGCTTGGAACCAGTTAATGAGTACTCCCTGCGCATTCTTCTCCGTGCAGACAGACTCGGGGTGGTATTGAAGGCCCCAGAATGGCTTCTTGTTGTGTCTCACTCCTTGGAGGATCTGTTCCCTTCGTCCATCCTCTCTAAACTCTGTTGCCCACGCCAATGGTGAAAACTCCGAAGTCGACCTCCACCGGTTTTCTTCTGCCCAGTCATCGCTGTATTGACCAATATCAACACAAAGACTGTGGTATAGAGTAGCCTTGAAGGGGGGTACTCCGCAGAATATGTCTTCTCCGCGATGCTCAATTTCCCTTACTATTCCATGAAGACCCCTCTTGAGTCTTCTCACTGACCCGCCGTGCGCAGCGAGCAAACTCTGAAATCCAAGACAAATACCCAAAACTGGTAGCTGAAGATGTTCAGGGAGATCCCAAAGAAGACTGAATGCCCCAACGTCTTCTGAATTAAGCGGTGATCCGGGGCCGGGGCCGCAAACTACGGCGTCGAATTGAGCAAGATTATTGATAAACTCTTGCTCGGTCCATTTTGTAGGTGCATCATCGTCGCTGGCTCTGTCAACCACAGAGAGGTCGATTCTTATGACGAAGATATCAGCGCCGACAATAGTTCGGAGAAGGGAGACGATATTGTTGGTAAAAGAATCATAGGCATCAATAAAAAGAATCCGCTTCGGCGCTCCAACCGAGGGCTCTGGGCCTGTAGTCATAGTCCAGAATTATCTCAAAAGTATTAGGAGGGTCTGATTGAGGGAGAATGGTCCAGATTGAAGCCTGGGTCAGTAGATGAGAACAAATTCCGATAAGCTTCGTCTTCGGCGTCCGATATAAAAATCCAAAATCTTTGCCGCTACAAGCCGGAGCTGACTCGGGATATGAGCCGTTGAGTTAAGTTATAAAGCCACACTGCACGGCACATGCGGACGTTGATTATCAGGTGATCGGACAATCCAGAGAGTAAAGAGTACATCAAAGTTTAACTCGTTGATGTGAAATTTGGGGCATTTTCTCGTTATTCAATGTCTCTCGATACAAGACTAAAAAGTACTAAAAAGTGGCGACAATGAATCGGATGCATGGAAGGATACTTACTTCTAGAACGTCAAGTTATGGCGCTACTGTAGGGTACTCCGTACTCATTAATGAAACATTCATCATGGTTTCATAGGAAAATACTGGGTTAAAGAGAGTCTAATAATCTGCAACTTATTGCTACTTCAATGTCTGAATCAACTACATACTTCCTTTTCGTGTGAGCCACAGACGATTGTGACAGCACCACGGCCAGTTCAATACGCAGGTCGAGTGATCATCGTCTGGATCTTCCTCGTCTTTTGTACGGATGCTTTTCACTTGATAGAACGCTGTTTGATAAGCACTCTTGTAGGATTTGAGAAGCAGTTTTTGCTTCTTCAGGAAGCTCTCCGGATCTGAGGTATTTCAACACCCACCCAAAGCGGTGCTGTAGCTGAGCCTGGGTCTCGATGTTCCATTTCTTGCCCAGTTCCACGAAAATGATCTCCCAAAAGGTATCATCCCCTGCATAGCTTTCAGAGTACTTGTCAAACACGCTCCTGTGGTGCCCTGGGGACTGCTCATCAACGAATCTTGGCTGTAACTTGGCTGGCTTCTCGGATGCCTTCTTTGAATCGTCATATTTCCAAGGAGGCAGGGTACTCGAGTAGGACGGGTCTCGAAGGCGACGTCTGTGTGCATTCAGGAGCCGTGCGATCTGACAGGCGCCCCCAACAAGAATCTCTGAACGGGGCACACCATCTGCTATCAATTGAGCAAAGGCTTGGTGCCAAATTTCGATTAGGTCAGACCATTCGAAGCGTGGTACAATGGCCGTGCTGGCTGGTTTACCTGTAATTCGTTCCCAGACTTCTCTCCTCAACAGCCTTGGGAGATATGTTGCCCAGAAACCCCCCTTGGACATCCATAATGGGATGATCGAAATCAGTGTACCCTGATTTCTTCAGTAGGGTTTTGAAGTGCCACGAGGTGTCGTGACCGTTCTCTAAAGCCGGAACATGAAAGAAAGGGTCCGTGTAGTCTTTATGCGGTAGACTTGGTCCCAAATGCGCCGCCACCTGACAGTCTTGCATGTAGTCAAACCCGAATTGGGATTGGAGGCAAGCATCCTGTAACCTTTCACGACCTCGGCTTTTGTCTTCCTGACCCCTCGAAGTTCGAGTTGCGATACGATAGTCTCGAAATCAACCTTAATAATACCATTGAGGCTTGTGACGTGAACATCTTGTTCGTGTTTATCGACTATCTCAATCATCAATTCCAAGTCATGGGGATTCCACGTGAGGCTTGCAACCAAGCCATCAAGCCTTGGGCGACCTTGATTGCAGGGTAATGCCCGGTTCAGGCCTTCGTAGCTTCGGCGCGGGAGGCATGGCGGCCTGAGATCTTCCAAACCTTCCCATGATCCAATACAGACGGCAATATTGCTAAATCCCGAGGTAGACAAAGAGTCGATCAGGAGAACATCAATGGTCTCGACGAGCGTAAGTAGGGCAGTATAGTGTCTTAGTACTTCTTCTCCCATATCTGGCGTCGGGTATGGAAACATGGATAACACTGTGACATCAACTCTCTCGATATCAGGTTCTGATAAACGTTGATGGACATGTAGGAATTTTTCTCCGCCAGGAGAGATGTGATCATGGTGTTGCATAGCTCTTTTTCTCACTCCCACTGCTCCTGTTGAATTTAGCTTTACGGCAGCTGCTTGCCCAACATAGATTGGGTCTAGTCGTGTATTTCAACACAGTATCGAATACTTGGTCGACGATAGCCATGTACCAGGAATCATGCCGCTTGATACTCTGTACAATATGATCAGGGAGATCATTTGGAACTACGAGTGTCATGTCAGTTACTGTGCATTATTATGGAAGTCAAAGTAACTCACTCGTGTTGCTCTCTAAGGTACACTTAGAAGCAACCATGATTGCCTTGGTCAGGGTTCTGAGATCTCCTGCTTCCATTTTTCGTGGGACTCCGTTAGGAACCTCTTCAATGTCGATTGCCTCTTGAGGAGGTGCATCAACAAAAGCAGTGTCTTCCTCTGGAGAGTTGTTGTCTAGACCTTCAGCCATCGCTTCAATGGCATTGCTGAATTCGTCGAACATATCAGCCACCTTGGGTTGTTGCGTATGTACGGCCTTGGCTTTGGCAGTAATTCTGAAGTCATTGAGGTTGGACCCCCAAGACGTCTTCTGTGACTGCATGTTGGTTTCGGGGACTTGGTTCAGTTCATGAATGATGCAAGTGTGTGGATGAGTGAGGTAGAGGACGAAGGACAGAAAAGGCGATAGGTGGCTCTTTATATAGAGAGATTTCGTATGAGGTAAGATTCACTGTTAGAAGAAAGCTTTTTTGTTTGATCAAGATGAAAGGTGATTTTCATTTGATACAAACAATATGTTGCTTGTAGACAACTGCCACACACTGTCGACACCAATCACCTACTTGGATGGTCAGAAGTGGCTACTATATGCTCCCCTACGCCCCCTCGAGAAGATACACTATGATCTATAGGTAATATCGCACTTAATAGAATTATAGGGATATCAAAGTGGTTTGGTTGTTGACGGGGAAGTGTCTGTCTTGACATTCAAAAGACTTGACTACTCCAGTTGAAAATATCGCATTAACACAGATATTTGATTATGTACCCTTATTAAGGATGAATAATAACTACTTCTAACCAAACAAATTGAGCATTGTTTGATATTTATGCTTGTGTTTGGTGTTGGATCTTAACATCATAATATTGAAGTGCTCTCTATCTGGCACAAAAGACCATGGCCCAAACCAAGACACACTGCGGCTTTCATGTACAGAAGTAGGATCACAAAGGGATATAGAAACACCCAGACTTGGTTTGCTTTAATTGCTATAGTATGAGCAAATTCTGCCATGTGTGGTAGTGGATCCTAATCTTTGTTTTTTCGTTTCTCTCTTTCCAAAGCCAAGCTTGAGCCAACATTGTAGGCAATCACATAAAAGATTGCCAGCTTTATGTCCTCGCTTCCACACGTAGTATTTGTCCATGTATTGTCGATACAAATAAACGACAATCTGGAGTAGTTGAAGTGGTTTCACGACCCATCATGCTTGTTGATCTCTGCTAACTGTGGCTCACCCACGACCGAGGCAGAATGCAGGCAAGTTCACCATAGGAGGCAACTCTTGAACAAATCAAGACCTGCTGGATTTGGCCGTTGTTGCTACATCTGATGATTGGAGGAATGATTTCTCTTATTTCGCAAAGGAAATCATTAGGGGACGTTTGGAAGGGACCCATGAAGATCTAGAAACTCACTTGTTGTAACGATGATTCTTATCAAAGGTCATTCATTGACCGCTCTCTTTGCTAGTCGCTAAATATCCACATCGCGTCGTAGTACAAATCTCCATTATTTAATCGAGGCCAATGTATAAAGCCACAGATCCCTATCACCATCAAAGTCCCTCCTCATTCTCTCAACTAGCGATCTCTCGTCATCAATAGACAAGGTTGTCTCGCATGCCAGATCCTTCTCTCCTTAACTCCGAGAGCCGCGTCCATCATCGTTTGAGACTCAGATCTCGCTCTTGTGGGTTCACTTCTGGGCTCATCCCAAACCTGCACCTCTTCTACTGATGCTGAGATTTCAAACTCTCCACGGCACAGCACTGTCATGCCCACCGAAATCTCAGCACTTCCGTGTCCTTCTAGCACAGGAATGAGCTGCTGTAGAGTACCGTTCCAAGCAAGCTTTCGTGTAAACTCCAGGCCAACATTTGCAGGCCGATGGCGAAGTGCAGGAAGAATTCTGACCAGAGGATGGATCTTCTGAGCTGTCCGGTTCGTGAGGCGTACCCTGAGTTGCATAAACTCGTCGACGTATGCTACATCCTTTTCAGCTGCATTGCCATCCTTATCTTCGACCGAGATATCAATGTCAACCTCGTCAACCTTGATTGCTTCGATCATTCTCGAGGTCAGTCGAATGCTTCTCAGATCGATCGAGCCACTCCTCTTAGGTAGTGATGTCGTCTTCCACGTTGCTCTAAGGCAGCTGAGAACCCTCTCTCTATACCAAAACCCTTCTCGATTCGCTCGCTCCATTTCAGGTGAAATCTTGCTGGCGCTAACCACGAATTGTCGATTCCGCGAGGGGTTGAGGGTCGGTATTGTGGCATGAGGATCCTCCAGATACACCCTTTTGACTGGAAGAATGACACGGCTCGTGTTTCCAGGCAAGATATCCTCCTGCACAGAAATTCCATCATTGCTCTCCAGTTGCACAATCATCTGGCTGGGCCAGGCGTTGCGAAGATCCACAGACAAGAGACAGTACTCATCAGGTTTGGCAGTAAAGGAACTGCCCAGGCGATCCCACAAGGGCTGAGGAATCTCTCCATGCACGGGTAGTGCATCGATTCGAGCAAGCTCAACACTAGCATTCACCGTCACGGTAAGATCGAGAGAAACCTGTCGTGTGTAGAATTGATCAGGCATCTCTTCTTGCGGGCATCCCAGATGAGTGTAGTCGACCTGGATCGTAGCCGCTGTGAGTCCGGGCTTGCCAAGAATCTCAAAGTCGAAGGTGGCCTCTCCGTTAGGTGCAATATGACGAGTCTGTTGGCTGTTGGGAAGTCGCAACGCCTGCTTCTTCATCAGCGCAAGCTCGTACTCGTAGAGCTCAGAGGGTGTCGCATCTCGGTTATTGATCGCAGTCTGGAGCGGTTCCTGTGTAGAATCCTTAAAGGAGAAGAGCATAAAGTCCACTGGCGTTGATGCAAGATTCTGTAACGTCACTGAAAACACCTGCCTCTCACCCTCCAGGATCATGATGGAGGACTGCGCAAGAGTTGTGGACTTGACAATTACCAGGGGTTGTGCTTGAATGGCAGTGAGACTCAAGCTTTCAGCCTCGAGCTTTGGAGCAAACGGCTTGACATCTGTGACCGCTTCCTCGAGCGCAGCCAAGCCCTTGGCCTTGATCTTGGCTTCCTGCTTTGGAGTCCAAGGCATGGAGAAAACAGGGAATCGTCGCTCACGGCATCCTCGGACCTTGATGATAGCACCCGTGACCTTGACAGTTCCCGCTTCCTTTGCCCTTCCCCTTAATCGGATCACCTGTGTTCGGTATGGCCCGACGACAGTCGCCTCCTTGACAGCATCAAACTGCACGCCCTCGGTAGCCAAGTGGACAGATTCAACATCCACTTCAATATCATAGGGGTTCTGTAGTGTGATCTTGAACGTAGCGTATTCATCAGCCACGAGTGTCTGGTTTACCATCTCATCTGGTTTCTTTAGGAATGGGTTGTAGATGAAAGGGTCAAGGTCTTGGGATGCACGGCTAGCGGTAGCACCAGGAAGGATACTCTTGGAGTGAGCTACTGGCGTTTTGCTGTTGAGTGAGGGCTCAAGCTTGATACCTCGTACAAAGAATTCATCCCAGTACTCAGCTGCTATGTCATTGTAGCCCAACCTCTGCACAAGATTTGCGGTTCTCGATATGCCAGTAGCTAATCGAACTTGCTCGTCTCGGGTGATCATAGGTGAGGCATCCTCTCTCCTAGGTCCTGGAGCAACACCGGAACCGGCTGTTCGCAACAGATCACTCGAGAATCGCAAAACACCATCAAAATCCGGAAGTGCTTCGGAGAAGTTGATGCAAGCCCTTAGAATGTTAAGCTTGACATCTGGAAATCCGAAGAAGCGCGCCGCAGACTGGCCGCGTATCCTAGCAATCACAGCTTCGTCTGAGTCGTCAGCATCTTCGTTGTTCTTGGCGCCGGCCTTCCTTGTCAAATCAAACCCAACAATGCCGTAAGACTTGCAAAGAAGGGTCATTAGAGCTTCTATGCCCTGTTCAACGTCACACTCTCCAATCTCTAGGGCCATGGAGCCACTGCTTGATCCACCGCCTCCTGAGGTCAACGACATCAGTCCGGCCGCAGGATGAATGCCCATGTCTGCAGCACCTCGAGTTCGCGCCTCGACAAGGCCACCGATTAGGACAGACACCAGCTCCCGAATCACCATAGCCTTCTTTCGATGAAGTCCCAAGGGTCCTAGAACAGTTGCTATGCCGCTCAGAATTGACGCTCGGTCGACAGTTGTAAGAAGTTCTGAAGCGCCCGCAGGGAATGCCTTGAAAAGCATCGCTCCGATTTGTTGTCTGGAGGGTGTTACACCAAACCGTGGAGGTGCAACGTATGGCTGCTCGGGGACAATCCCTGTAGCAATCATGGCTAAAGATTCTCGGTTTAGGTAGCCATTACATAGGTGAAGAGCTGAGTATATCTTGGAAAATCGAATGAAGGCCTCGGACATGGGTAGTGGTGGGAGGCTGTCCGATGATACTCTGGAGTATAATGCTATTATACGTTCCAGAAGCTCCGGTAGTAGCCATTGGAGATTTCTAAGATGTTTTGGCTGGTCGGGGTCTTCAGGAGTCGGGTCTGGCGTTTGCTTGTGCGCTGGCTTATCCGGGAATTGGATGAGTACTGTAGGCACATGGAACTCGATGTTGGACCAGCCAAGAAGGAACAGGTTAACCAAGATCAGTTCCAATGCTTTTCCATGCCATAGATGATCATTTACAGATCGCGCAGCCATAGCACCATCACTAAGCTCCTTAATTGAATCCGTCCATCGTCCAGCCTGAAGAAACATGGAACCAACGACAACCGCAGCTCGGCCTTTGGTTCTTAGCCTCCAACGGTCATTCACACCGCCCGAACCAAAGCCCTGCGTTGATATCCGATCGCGACTAGCTGACCGAGAGCTCTCTGTAGTCTCTTGCGGGGCAGGTTGTGGATCTGGTGTTGACCGGTCACTAGCTGGCGGGCTCTGACTATCCGTAGTGATGGGTGGGTTCGATAGGCTGCTCTTTGGAGGTGTTGATGACAACCCTGGTGTTGAACTGCTTGAATGAAGTCCTGGGCGGGCGTTGGCTGGCATAGACATGCGGGCCTGTGTCTTGTCCATAATACCGCCCGCTGAATTAGAGCGCACGGAATGTCGTGAAGAGATACTCGAGCCTCTCCTAAGGAGCCCATTCAACCCTCCTTCACCACCCCACGAACCACCATTAGTATGTTTTGAAGTAGACGAATAAGGCACGGGGGACTCGATGTTGGTCATGGCCTCGAAGGACTTGGCCAGCGTTGTCATCTCAGCGAGGAGAAGCGAAGAGACGTCGCACATAACAGTCCTCAGCGTAGTAACAGTGCAGTTCTCAAGAGGAGGAATATCGACAAGGCCCTCAGGCATTGGAATCTCGGTATCGTGAGGGTTGGCATAATCGAACAGCAAGACTTGGTGTACCAGAGCCTTGGGGTACATGTCGCGCAGGTCTTCTAGTTCCTGGTATAAAGCTCTGATGTTCTTCTCAGTCGTCGTCGGACCTGTGCCATTTATCGACTGTCTCTTATTGAAGCTCTTTTGATGTAGTTCGGTGCCATCTGCCAGAGCTATTATAGCAAGGGGTTCTCGGTATAAGTCGAACGGCGTAAGGGCGAGGTGGGAGGGAGGAGGAACGTGGGTAACGAGGTTGTATATTATGGCACCGTCTGGGTACGCCAGAGGCGAGAACATGTCTGCGTAAGCTGTGTCAGCGCCAACTTGAGCAGTTGAGGGCATCCCTTACTCCTGTTGGGTCGGCCATCAGCGCTGATGTCGCGGAGGTGGACAACATGTTCCTTGTTGAGTCGCTCGACGAAGGAGGCGAATCGGTCTGCTTTAATCTGCCCCAGAGGTAAAAGAAGTGTCTTCACCCTCGCAGGAGCGACGGGGGCTAGAGGATCCAAGCTCATCCTAGCATCTGGTGTTTTCTCAACATGTCCGCCAGCGCAACGTGGTTGGTGTTCTAGTCGGTGACGTCCTCGGGGGCGTCGCAGGGTCTTCGTTTGGTATAAGGTGATGTTAATTACAATCGCATTGTTATGTCAGCGTCGCCTCTTTGAGTTGTTGAGCTGGGCTTCGAAAGTTGAATGTCGCCTTTAATCGCCGGATCTTGAGCTCGGTATCGTACACCTGTCGCATGCGGCTAGGAGCTGCTGTATGAGGTAGCGTACCCTTACATGGGTGGCCGGATCAGGTGGAGCCTCAAGGACCGGAGTCGACTTTTTGCGAGCCGATGACAATAATGCAGAGCATACCAGTCACTTCAAGTCCACGTCAACACTTCACTTATTGTTACTGTTTTATGGCTGATGAGAATGTTCCAAAATGGGTATCAATTCTTTGATGGTCAGCACTGAAACCCCGTGGTATCTCAAAAGCTTGGCCCACGAAGAATCTCCTATACTCCTGGGGTATCGCGATTTTGGCCTCTAACACCCTTTCCAACTTTTGCCGAAATACAACTAACAACTAAATGCTTAATCCTGTCCCAATGAACAGCTGTTCGAAATTTACTTCATCGTTTTCAACCAACTGATGATGGCGGTCCTTGGGGACTTTGCTCTGACGGCTTTCTCTCCCTTGCCTCGGCTTGCAGCTCACTCTCAAAGGTATCAACAGACAAACTCGCTTCTACGAAATCTTCAAGCTCTTCAGTGACAGTTTTGAGCTTCTCCTTTACTGCGACAGCAGCTTCGTGACCGACAATGTGTCGTGCTGGGGGGTTTTCATGCCCACCAATTGCCGAAAGAGCATGAACGGTCTCCATGACCAGTTTATCTGCTGCGCCGGGCGGTAATTTGGGGTAGCGATGTAAAATCTCACCAGGCGCTGCATCTGGTTCGAGGGAAGTACTGGCGGGGGACATAGGTGAAGGTCCGTAGTCAGCTGGTGATGTGGGGTATGGCAGAGCTGTATCTGGATGAGTGTTGAGAACGTTGGCGAGAATGTCGCGAATGCTCGGAGCTGTTTCTGAGTATTGATCATACGCAGGCATTTGAGGCGCAAAGGTGAGGCGATTAGTCAAGGAAAGAATCTCCTTGTTTGGTTGAACAACGGTAACTTTGATGTTGAAGGGCGCAATCTCGTACGCAAGTGAGTCGCAGAACCCTTCGAGAGCCCATGTCGCAGCCGTATATATCGACATGCCTGGTGTGCCAATGTGCCCGCCGGTACTTGTTAGAACAATGATATGCCCTGTGTGCTGAGACCGTAGTTGAGGGAGAGCAGCTCTGATAAAGTTGACCTGGGAGAAGAAGACGGACTCGAACTGGTCGCGCACAAGGTTTTGCGTGAATGGAGTTGTTGATAGCTCCTCTACGGTTCCCACGACAGCTTAAGAGTGATTGAGTCAGTAAAATGCGTCATCTTGAGCCCAAGAATGCAGCCCCCAACATACCATCGGATTTACAGCATAGCAGGATATCGATCCGCCCAAAGACCTGCACAGCCTCGGCGACAGCAGCTCCACAGCTTCCCATGGCAGCCCCATCGCATCGGATACCACGTATACGATCCTTCCACCCCTCGCGATCCTTTCTGGAGCTCTTACACTCATTCACGAGCTCGCGAAACTCGGCGCTGCGGTCCTCATGATCGATCTCGTAGGGCGGTAAACATGCGACAACGTAGTCGCCATGTGATAGCAGTAGCCGGATGAGTCGGACGGACAGGGGGGAGAGAGCTGAAGTGAGGAGCCATGTTCGCGGCGAATTGTGCGTGGCTGTGGAAGGGTTGGAGTCAGCGTCGGCCATTATAATGGCTTGTACATGATTTGATAGTGTTTTGGTTGCGCCCCAAGCAGTCAGTGGCAATTATCGCGTTTTCCTTGCTCTTTTCAATGTCTTTGATTATGTAACCCAGACGCACAATCTCCAAAAAAAGAAAAAAAAAAAAGTTGCCAACCTCAGCAAGAGGAATTGGTCGCAATTGATGGACTATGCCAAGGTATGAAAATAGAGTGAAATGCGGGAGAAGTAGCAAAGTGTGGAGTCGTAGGTAGAGCTTAGCTGAGCTTCGCTTGAAGAAATTACATCATTGGGGATGGAGATTAATGGGAGAGCATATTGAACCAAAACATGCAACTTTGAACGCCTGATCCTTGACAAGCCCAAAATTTTTAAGACAGAAACAGAAAAGACGAGAAGCTAAAGAGATTAATGGCCTCTTTATATGAAAGCAAAACAAGACGAAAAAGGAATACGCCGAAGGAGCTGAATGCCAGGGATGGAAAAGCTAAAGTTAAAAGACAAAGTAAAATAAATAAAATCGATAGCTAACAGCGTAAAAAAAAAAAGCTGGGGACTTACGAAAGGAGGGGTTCGGTATTGAGTGACTGTTATGTCGTGGGGTAACGGTAAATGCCATGTCGTGAGCGCCACGCGTTGGTGTTGGCCGTTGTGGCCCCAGCATGGTTATCGTATAAGTCAAATTGACTGATATAGAATGATTGGTTTGTGATAAGACAAAAACAATGTTGTTTCTGTTTGTTAATGTCTTTATCCTCTTTCAAGTTGTGATAGTCTTTCTTCTTCTGGACATAAACCAGAAGTTTCAGGCGAATAGCTTCTTAGGAAAACATCCAGAAGCCGTATAACCTAAAACCTCAACACTGGCGAATAGTAGGATCCAAGGTTGATGCAGTGGATATGATTTTCAAATCTCCAAGAGTCAGTTCTCGACCGCCATTAACCCGTGTAAGTCAAAGAGCGGACCCCAAATTTGATCAACCTGAAGACTAAGATGCAGCTACTATGCACCTAGGGTCTCGATATGGCCGATTGGATGATCAAGCAATCGGTCAGCACTTTTGCCGACGCAAGCTGCACTCGTGTGGAGTTTGGTGAACAAAAGAGCTCGGGGTTGTCGAGTGTTGGTCGCAGTGGGCGCGAAGGATTCATATAAGCAGCAGTAGTAGTGACTTTAGTGTTTTGAGGCCATAGGCAAGGGCATGAATGAACAGCGCATATATAATTGCAATGATGTTTCTGAGATTGGATGTCAAGTCGTTGGCTGGGTCCTTGTAGGGCTGGTGTAAAAGTGAGACTTTCCAAAGACATCCAAGACAACGGAACATGTAGAGAATACGAAGAACTGAAATAGGAATTCAGGAACTAATAAAAGAACAGACGAATATTACTTGTACTTGTTTCTCTTTTTGGATCAGGCGGGGGGAACGAGAAAACAAAGAGAAAAGAAAGATTGAGGTGATTTGGTCCATCCCTCATCCAATGCCCCATATTGACGACAAGGGCGAAACATTTACCATCCATGTAATGGCCTGGCATGGCATGGCATGGATATGTACAAAGTAGCGTAGCGTGAGGTAAGGTAGCCCAACTTTTGAACAGGTAACATTAAACCAAACTGAACCTAACCTAACCACACCACCAAAATAGACTCCATAGATACAGAGAGTTACAGAACAAACTTCCTACTTTCAACGTCCATGCTTGTCTGTCTTGTGGGTCCAGAGACTGTATTGCATCGCATTCGCATCGCATAGCATTGCCCTCAAGACTGACTTTCTTGGCTGTCTGGGTGATCAACAAGGCTGCAACCGAGACATCCGATTAGAGAGAGACGATTTGTTACGTATCGTCACCGTGACAGTTTGTGTCTGTGTCCTACGATATCTCGTACATAGACGACACACGGACAGATGACAAGTTTGGTTATAATGCACTTACATGTATGTGTGTACCAACATGCAGAGGGAATGGGGTTGATGTGGGCTTCTAAGAGACATGAGGGAAAACCCAAAGTCACGCCAGTTTCATATGTTTCCGATCCGCCTGCCGCTGTCATAGGGCAGAAATAGTTTCTAACCCCTGTCGCCTGAGGGTTGAGATAGGGATCTTTGAGGTGTGAGGCGGCAGACGAGTCAGGTCACGACAGGGAATGGAGGGTCAAAATCAAATTCCAAATACCAGGCCCTGGACTTTGGACTGGTCTTGGCTCTGGGGTACTTACTCTAGTAGTGTCTAGTATCTCTAGTTTTATCTTTACACAAGATGTTACTCGTACTGCATGAACATCAAATCACACGACAGAAGACGTTGAATCTATATCACCAGACATTTCTTATTTCATGCAACACAGCAACTGCATACTCTACCGCCTCACTCTCGCTCTTCTCTCTCTTGAATCATGGTCCCTCAAAAAAACACATGAAACGATGAAACGCCATCTCAAACTCACAAGCCAATACCATGGGTAGACCCTTGTCAATCTGGCCTACCAGGGCTTAGGCTCTTTTTATTTTTTATTTTCTTTTTATTTTCATTTTTTTTAAATGACGACGTCGCAAAAAACTGTCCTCAACTCGTCTTATCCAGATCCTCATAACTAATTCTTGCAACCCAATCGACCCTCAAAAGGGGTCGTCGTCGGACAATCCTTTCCTCTGCTTGGCTGATAAACGTGAAATTGCCGATCTCACCAACATTCGGCACCACCACAACATAGAGCGAGACGCTACTGTCGGCAGTGGCCCTGAGAAGAGTTACCGTCACGTCCACGAATAGGAGGGCCAGCCTTGGCCGTTAGAGGCCTTTGCCCTGTACCCCGTAGCTGTAAGTTAGTGCCAAGAAGGCCTAGAACCACCAGGTCAGCTTCCATGAGGGGTGGAAAATGGAGCTGATTGGCTGCTCGGCAGTGGACGCTGGGTTCTCCGAGGCAGGGTCTTCTGCTTCATCTCAAAATCAATTTCTCACTGCATGCATTAAATGTCTGCTAACAAATGCCCTGTCGGCTGTCAATTGTCATTATAACGCCTATAGTCTTTCTGTGTAGGTATTGAGGTATTTCCCCATGTTGAATAATCTCGCAAACATTATACACTAGCACAATACAGTATAACATAACCCATTTACCCTTGTCAACATTTCACGGTTCATTCTCTTCGGTCCGATCTCGCACTGGCAGATAATGATTGACATTTAAATCACACAGAAACACAAATCACAACGCACAAACCCCGCACAAACTATCAACTCCTTAACCACGCTTGCTACGACAGGGACTTTTGCATACAGGACCTTACAGAGTTTCGAACCAAAAGAGCTCGAGCCCTCCTTAGTCCTAGACAATCACGGCGAGAAAAGGAGCTTGTCTTCCGTCTTAACACTTCGATAACCTTCTAAACAGGGATAATTAACTTTGCCATAGTAACCTAGACCTAGTCATGCTCAGACTATCAGCATCCCATGACTGACTCTTTGAAACCATCTTTCATAGGAAAGCTTCCGAGCACAGCTGGGCACACCTCACTGTGGCCTGTTGTTATCGGCCTATCGGGTCAATTCCACTGCACGAGGATAGGTGATACGTGAAATATGTTTGGTATCACCGTCACACAGACCGTTGCGATCTCGAAGATATACTTTGATCTTGAAACGCGGTCCGTCACTAGCTTAGCTCGGTTCCCTTTGAGATTCAACGTGTTTTCTCCTTTATTTGTGATAACATCTTCTGCATAACTCGTAAGGACAAAGCCAATCGGATTATTACAACACGTTGGCAAAACCGTTAGCAATTGAGGACACTCTCCGGATAATTTAGAAAGTCAATATGTGCGTGCCGCAGTTAGCTTGGTAAGATTGTTGCATTTAACCGGAAGTTTCTTTTGAACCAGGCACAGAAAGCTTGCAATATCCTTCTGATCGTGATAACTCATTCAGGTGTCGCTGCAACTCGGTACATGTGCCCGCAGACTGCTAGGTATATCATCCTCACGCTTTACTCCTAACGAACAGCCAAACTCATCAAACTTGATCTTGAATTAGATTTCACCCCCTGATCACATCTCCTTTGTCCACCGATTCATTAAACCTTGGCATTTAGTGCTTGGTGTTCTTGATGTCGGCAACTTCCTCCCGGATGCTGGGCGTGCGGGCGCCTTCAGGACCCTCGGCATCGAGCTTGCTGTGAAGGTCGCCAACACCAAAGAGCTCGTCCATCTGCTCCAAACTGAGACCCTTGGTCTCGGGAACGAAGAACCAGACAAAGATACCCATGAGAAGATCGAAACTGCCGAACATGAAGAACATACCCTGTCAAGTTTTGATTAGCTATCTCAAACTCATCAAGATAATGGCATCGAATACTTACGTAGCCGGCAGGTCCCATGGTCTTTTGCATGGTCAGCACAGTTCGGGCAATGATGAAGTTGAACAGCCACTGAGTAGCGGCACCGATGGCGACATTCAGAGCTCGAAGACGGGCAGTGGGAATCTCAGAGACGAGAATCCAGCAGCAAGGTCCCCAACCGAACTGGAAGAGAGCAGCCCAGAGGTAAATGCACACAATAGCAACGTATCCAAAAGCAGAGATGCCTTGACCAGCAACAGGAGGCTCGACGCGACCGTAGATACCGATGATGTACATGGTAAGAGCCTGAGCAGCACTGGTCCACAGAAGACTGCGTCGTCGACCGAGAGAGTCGGCACAGAAGATGAGGAAAGTAGCACAACCCAAGACCTTGACGATACCGTAGACACCAGTGGCAAAGAGTGAGACTGTTGTACCAGTCATACCGAGAGATTGGAAGATCTGAGGAGCGTAGTAGTTGACAGCATTAACACCTGTCATTTGTTGGCAGATCATGAGGAGAACAGAGATGATAGCTCGCTTTCGGTTTCCGGGGATGGTGACGAGTTCCTTCCAGAGAGTTGAGGCAGAGGCGTCGCCGGTCAATCGCTTCTCAGCTTCGAGCTGAGCAGACATCTCCTGAATCTCAGCCTGGACATACTCGTGGTCCTCGGGAAGCCTATGAGAAGCAATGTTATTTAAGGGTGCCTGTTTCAGTTCAAAAATTGACTTACATGCGAAGGTCGATGAGAATAGACTTGGCACGTTCCCAGTCATCCTTGCGTGCACACCATCGAGGGCTGTTCATTGTTAGCGAATATTTCCTTTGTATATGGAATCGACATGTCCTACCTTTCAGGGGCCAGCAGCATGCAAGTGATCAGGAGGCTAGAACCGGTCAGTCTATAGTCTTTGATATCACAACGTTGATTCTTACACGGCGGGGAGAGCCTGGAGAGCTAGGGGCAGGGCGTAGACCGTGGGAGCCTTGAGATGGAGGAGAGCGCCATAGTTGACCCTGATGTTATGTTAGGCTGGCTTCATAAGACGATATCAATAGTTCTAGCTTACCAGAACGAAAGCATGACACCAGTAACGATGAATAGCTGATAGAAAGCTATACAGAGTTAGTAACAGCCCCCATAGACTTGCGAAAGAAAGACTCACAGGTCAAACCACCACGGATAGCTCGAGGTGCACATTCAGACACGTAAAGGGGTACCAAGGACGAAGCAGCTCCGACACCCAGACCACCAACAAAGCGACCAACGTACATGAGGGGAAGAGAACCATTAGCAGTGGAGGCAGCCTGAAGAATAACACCGATAGTGGTGACAATACCGGTTCCAACGAGACACCATCGTCGACCATACTTCTCAGTAAAGTACGAAGTGAAAAAACAAGCAGCGAAGCAACCAGCCTGGAGAGTAGAGACAATGTTCTGGTCAAGTGTAACCTTGGCCTCAGGAGTATAGTTGAATCGCTCCTGTGTGGCCTTCATAGCGAGGACACCGCCGATAGCTCCAGTGTCCCAACCGAACAACATACCGCCGAAGCATGAGCCAGCGACGATGGCGAAGACACGCCAGTTGTAAATCTCCTCGGGGTCAGTTTTCATCGCATCATTGCGAATGACCTTCTTGAGGATGCCCGCTAGACCCATGGCTGCGGTATTGGAAGACAACTATGGGGGGTGGTTGAGTGGCGATAGCCGAGGATCGTTGAGATGGGAGTGGGCTCCAAGCTAAGAACAATAGAGGGTATGCTTTAAATATAAGCTTGTTTCCCCGGATTTTGAGTCGAAACAAAGATGTGGAGCTGTCAATATATAAGAGGCAAGCTCGAAGGTCGAAATGCACCAATAATTGATTGTGGTGTGATCTCTGAAGAGAAAATCTGAATCTCGAGGGGAGCTCGCAGGATATTAAATGATCGTCCGGCTAAGGTCCAGTGTTCGAGCTATCAAGCTCCCCCAGACACTCCAGACCACCACCACCCGAAACTGATCGTCCAACGACCAGTGACAGCCAAGTCTGGGGTCGCATCAAGACGACTCTCACCCCCAATATCGGCGCATCGGCCTTATTGGTGTAAGATAGAAACTCCCCATGTCAATTGCACAGATTGTTGAGGAGGGTTTGATGCGTTGCCTGTCTGTGCAAATTAGAGGCACAGACTAGACAGTCGACGCAGACTCACGCCCGAATGAAACCACAACCCTTGTCAATATCCTGTTTCGCATCGATATTACCAGCACTCGCTCAAGCTATAGCCATACAAGCTCTTTCGATGCTCGTCCCAAGGTTCAAAACACCATCTGCCCGCGAGGCTCGACATAGTGAGTATACCAGTCCAAAGCCGAGACAGTAGAATAACCGTATATCCATAAGCGCATGAATTGGTTCGCTTAGTCTAAAGATCTCGGCGGATAAAAAAGTCCACGAATCGACTTTCACCTGTCGTCAAAAAGTGGCTGCGCTATCAAGCGCGGAAGAAGCAACGTACCCCAATGTTGCGAAATGCCCAGACGCCGCTGAGAGGAATCCGAGACGAACTTTGGGGGCACTGTAGATTCTTCCCAAGATGTCACCGAGGCCTTGACAACTCACATGCGGGCGTCTTTGATCATTCTCGCCAACATGCGGGGGAGTGACAGAGACTGCCGCGTGGATCCTGGGGTTGTGGAGAGAAGCTCCACTGGTGGCTCTCCGTCTGGGGCGTCCGCCGGCTGAAGTCGATTGATTATGACATGGGTGTTGGGGAGAGTTGTGATCGTCTTCATGATCTGATACGTGGAATTGAGTCTCTCCGGCGGGGATCGCACATGAGTCTAGCCTCTAGGCAACTTAAACTATGAGCGAATGCGGAGCTTTCTTTTAAGGTTATATCGTGTCGAAATGAACGAATGTGATCACCTCAGCCTCAACAGCCAAGCTTCTAAGACTGATGAATCTACTCCGGAAGTCATTCTGTGCCAAGATTTGGGACAAGCTGCAGGCCCTCCCCGCAAAGAAGGCATAGACGAAGCGGGGAGCAGGACTTCAGATGAGGAGAAGATAATATGATGCTTTGATTGATGGGATCTTTCAAATCCCGTGTCCTCCATCTAATTTCTTCCACTCAAGCCTACCTCTTGTCCTAACATTTGGGGTTAAGCATTCATCTCTTTCTCTAGCCAGCCAGGGATGGGAGGAGTCTTGGCCCATCCATCGAGATAGCTTTCCTTGTTCACCCCAACCCCCGAGGGCTTGGCATATATAGCAGAGACATACCAGACCGACTCACCAGCTTTGATGGTATGTTGCAGAGTTGGAATTGTGCTCCTGCTCTCAACCAAGTTCGAGTTCGGATCTGCATTAACCAGCATAGCCTGACGTTGTTCCGCCGGCTCTAAAGCTTTGATGCCAACAGCGCCTTTCGATACTGCAAAAGCCCCCGACTTTCCGCTTGCCCAACCATCGGGCGTCTTTAGATCGTAATTGCCAATGATCTTGGGAGATGTTCCCTCGTGCTTTGTTTCATCGTATGGTTCAAGATATCGTCCATTAGTTGAGTTGACATTGGAAATAGCAAAGGAGCCATCCGCCGTCATGACCTCACGACCACTCTTGATATGATGAACTCGAAGATGCCAGTTGGGGGTTTCTTCTTGTGAAGGAATCAAGATGGTGCGAATTGTGACATCTGGGAAAGGCTTCCAAATCGAGACGAGAACTGGGGTACCTTCGCGGTCCTCGATCCCCGCATACTCGCAAAGCCTTCGGGTCTTCCAGTACTCGCCCCCATCATCCGAGAGCCCGAGTTGCGATGCCAGTGCATACTGTTCTAGGGAAAAGAGACCGGGGGGTACCGAATATCCGTATGCGCTGCTGTAAGCAAATCCGCCGTATTTGGCATGGGTTCCTTTCATTGGGTAGCTGCAAGCTTGTCCTGACGACAGAAGCATGCAGTGGCCGCCAAGGTAACTGCACTAACGTCAGTATCACATGAATATACATATAAGGTAGGATCTACCTCATAATATGACCCGGTTGGCTCAAAGCTTTCATCTTGGGGATTACACCACTAGTTGACTCCTCGTCGGATGTCCAGAAAGGGTGATCTTCTGGTGTTGCCAGGCACATAAATGCGAGGCATGCCCAGTACTAGGAGTTCTCATTAGCAAATTTATCATAAAGTCAATCTATGTGACTCTTACGGGGCTTCCGGGGCTGTTATAGTTCTCCGCCATCTAATTTCGTTAGTTGTCGCCAACAGCATAATCAGGGAGTAACAATACTTACATACATATTTGGGTAAGAATACCCAATCGACAGTGTACCACTTGATGTCCAAATATCACCTTGGGTCTGCCACCAACGCAAGTGACGAAACACAACTCCTTTCACCATGCCCCAAGTCAACGGTGCAGGCAACTCAACATCGGCATGGGCCAGCGCTCCCCAGAAAGAAACCATGGCAAAACGGTAGCCTACGCTTCGACCGTAAGGGATGGCTCTGCCTTCATCGTCAAAGTAATGGATTAAATCCAGAGCGACCTGTTGTGCCCGCCTCTTGAATTCTTCTGCCCGCTTTGGGTCCTCTTCCCCTGCTAACTTGGCGTACAATAGCTGAAGTAGCTGAATTGCGAAACTTGACGAGTAATAGTCCATTTCTGGCGCGTGTCAGTCAGGGCTAAGATCTTGCGACCTCAAACTTACGATGGATGCCTTCTGGTCCATCGTTGGACCAGCCTCCTCCACGATAAAAGGTTTCGAGGTGCTCAATGTCACTGTCAAGTCTTTCCTGGGAGAATTTGCCGCCGTTCTTCTTCAGCCCCAGGTTGGCAAATACACGGAACCATAGCCAATTAGTGTTGGGCATACTGCAAGACGATTAGCCAGTGAATCATTGGTACATTGTTGAGAGCTGACTTCTTCTCGTTGATTGAGTTTCCTAGCCATGTCTCAACATTACTCTTCTCCTTGTCAGAAAGGCTGCTCCAAAACTCGGGGACAACAGCCAACGCCCAGCCTAATAAATCGTCAGTTGTACATCATGATGAGACTTCGTATGGAGGGACCTACCAAGGGGGCACATCTCAACCATTCTTTGGTCATTGTCCTGAGGATAACCCCAATATTCGGGGTTTTCTGGATCAGTCCCTGACTTGATACCCTGAATCCACCATTCCTTGCCTTCGTAATCACCACCACCTGCCAGTAAAGCAGCCAAACCCCAGAGTGGACGGCATATTCCTTCGACTTCTGAAGCAGTCTGGTCGAATCGAACTGCTGTTGCACCGGGACACTTGACACGGGCTTTTTGGGGAGAGAAGAATGGCTCTAGAGGATCAAGAACAGTGCGAAGGAGCTCTTGAACAGATGTGCGATCCTTAATCTCAACCTTGGAAAAGGGGTGTATTCCATTGTATCCAAGACAAAGGGGTTGGTTAGGTGCCATTGTGTTTTATCGAATGGTGTAGCTTGAAGTTAACTGCCAAGATTCATTGAGTGGCAGAGATAGAGCAAAGGATAAACAAGAGATATATACTGAAACTGAGCTATTAGCTTACCCGCAGCTCATGTCACCTACGGCTCCAGGACCACGCATTTTCCCTCTGTCTTTCGCTTTTATCCGTCCATAGCGGGGACAAAGCTCTATGTACATGGCCGGGTTTCCGTGTTGATCAGTGAGGGGTTCAATGCCGCGTGGGATGGTTGACCCCAAGAGTTTGGGGGTTCTGAGCTGATATGACGATTGACAGCCGAAAATGGAGCTATATAAACTTAATCCAACGTCTCGGCAACGGCCAGATTCTTTTAGATAAAATGAAAAAAGAAAAAAAAGAAAAATGAACAACAAACTTGATAGCAAAGGGCTTTGGTGTAACAGTTAAGGCCTTTGTCAGCTTGCTGCAGAGGACCGCAAAAGCGCAGGAGCTACGAGAGCGGCTTACCCTAGACTTCTACCATGTCGCTTTGAATCTTCTTCAAGGCCACCATCAAGAGGCAATTTGAAGGTGTTTCAATCAAACTTCTATGAAAGGCAATTTTTTCTTTTCTTTCAATCTCGATGCTCCTGGAGCTTTTGTGATTCTGCTACATTCGTCGACCAACGGCAAGTGCAAAGTCTTTCCCCCGGCATTGCCCTTTTTCAGATCAGGCTGTGCTGCACCATACCATCTTTGCCGTTTCACGATTATGGCCGACAAACATGAGGAAACTATAACTGTCGGCATCAACGGAGGTGAATCAAATGAAGCACGAAAGAGCGCACTGCCATCGTCTCCCCTCTCCTCAGCCCCTGACCATGAGGATTATGGTACCCTGACGATGGCAGACCAGCTGCCGGATACGCCTTCGACTTCGCTCAATGGTCGAGAAAACACCACAGCGACGACCCCTATGAAGATGGCCAAAGGCAAGCGGAGGGTCCTCGTGAAAAAAGTACCGAAAAAGTCGAAATGGAACGTGGATAACATTCTGACGGATCCTAAATCACCCCTAGCTTCAGCTGATCTCAGAGTAAGGCACTCCGTCTTTTATAACTTGATAAGGTCGCTAACGAAAACAGAGCATACTGTCGAATCCGATGGCCTGGGATACTCTCGACAAAGAAGAGAAGGCAGAAATCCTGGCACTGTTCCCTGATTCCCAGCACATTCTCGGTCCTGGCACGGAGGATGCCTGTCCTGATTTTGCATCACTCATGAACGACGACAGTTTCCGCTACGATTGTGCTGCTTACACAGAAAACATCGCCCAAGGCCGGCATGATCCTGAATGGCTAGCGCATGCTTGGACAGCTCATGAAAGACGCAAGATGGGCGATTTCGACGAATTTCTGGACAACAAGTTCAAAGATGAATGGGATGTCGAGCTACCACCAGAGCTCAAGACAAAGCGAGGACCTGCCGTGTCAAAGGAGGCAAGCGATGTCACAATGGAGGACACTGAGCCAGTGAAGAATGAAAGCGACAAGAAAGAGGACATCGATATGGAGAACAGCACTTCGGAGAAGAAAGACAATCCTGACATTGACTCTGAGGTTGACGAACTTCAAAGATGTGACCCGGCGCACGAGGGACCTATAGCTGTGGCTATTTCACAGCGAAAAAGCTCGATGATGGAGATTGATGGTGACGATACAAGGGATGAGCTTGCTTGAGGATAGAATTTGCGGGTAAAGAGCGAAACGATGAATTGGGGCGTTATTATTCATCCATGATAGAACTACGCCGCAGTTTGACACCGGATGAAATTTGCTTTATTTTGACTTCATTATCATGGCTTGAGCTTGCAAGCTATAGTTAGTTACCTTAGTACCTAGTGTCCATCATGAAAGCGGGAGATGGAGTGGCAGATAGACGGATGACCCACTGAATTTTAGCAACATCCACCACAAACAAGATTCAGGCGCTGATTAGAATATTTCATCTTCTCAGCCTTAAAAAAGATATATTCGCCATTTTAACAGAACGGACAAGTTAACCGACTTCTTTATCGTGACCAGCCACCATTGATACAGCGCTTATTCGAGCCTCAGACGTGCCCTAACATACGATGGCACCAACCTCGAATGTCCATGCTCGATCGCACAGTCTGCTGCTCTTACAGAAACTCCTCAACCTTCGTGACGGCGCAAGCCCTCTTACTCTCGTGATCGACAATCTCGAACAACCTGCGCGACCAGTCCTTAGCGAATTTGTGTCAAGGGCAAAGGTACTAAAAGTCCCCTAAAACGTGAGAGCCAGTATGACTAACGTGGGAAATCCAGATTGCAAAGACACAGGTTATCTTCCTCTCGCTGGTAACACTGAAGAAACCACAAGATGCAGATGTTTTCATAAAAGCTGCGGGGAGAGATCTTCAAACTGTGCGCAAAGACTTGTTGAATCATTATCCTGCTTTCAACCCTCTTTTGGACAAGGGAAAGCCCACTCAAAGTAAGCCCAGCAGAGTCATGATCTGAGGAGGTTATCTCGTTACTAACTGTCTCAAGGGGCCGTTGTGATTGTCGACTCACTAAACGCCTTAGCATCTGCCGCTCCTCAGTCCCTGGCAAGCTTTCTCTCAAGCATCATCACGCCAGCCGTCTCTATCGTCGCCACATACCATGATGATGTACCCATAGTACTTCCAAGGTCGTTCAGCGAGTATGAACCTCATCCCTTCACTGTACTGTGCCACCTCGCTACTGCTATCCTGAGACTATCGAGACTTTACCAAGAGATTGAGCGTCAGAAGGCTCGAAACAGGAGCATTCAGGAGCCAGAGTGGGGTCTGAACGAAGATCGTGAGGGTGTACTTGTCGGTCTTGGAGAGAAGGGCAGAGATCGGAATGAGGACAGCAATGGAGTTGTTATCAATATGGAACTACGACGACGAAGTGGAAGAACAGTTTCAGAAAAGTTTATTCTCAGCTCCAAGGGATTGGTTACAGCGCCGCAACCCGGCAAGGTGTGCTTGCTTACAGACCACCCAATGTTCGCAGCACCAACGGATAGTGGAGAGACCGGCGAAGGAGAGGAGGAACCTGAGAGTACATTCAATCTGGGACTCACAGAGAAGCAACGTAAGGATCGAGAGGGTATTGTATTGCCATACTTTGATGCGCAAACGGACATTGGTGCAGGAGAAGGAGGAAGGATTCTTTACGAAATGGGTAGAGAGGATGACTTTGACGATGAGGAGGATGAGATATAGAGATGAGACACGACTCCTTTCACATAGAATTGACGCATTATGACCTTTGACCTTTGCTGTTGTAGAGTCATGATGATTGACTTTGGCGTTTACAGGTTCCTAAATGACCTTCAGGTTATAGAACCTATCAATCACAGAGTGATAGCAGGAGTGTTTGACACAGCCAGTCAGTATAGAATTTACTTTGCAAAAATACTCCAAAGTAAGTATTTCTTGATGAAACAGAAGAATATTCGAATGCCGAATTTCATCACAAATTACCATCTTGAACTGGAATGACAAGTTGGTTCGTTATCTTATCAGCACGGAGCTCCCTCTGCCATGCGCCAGCTCCACTGACCATCGACCATACATACAGATCCTCCAAAAGCCAAGACGATCAAACTGCAATATTGCAAGTCAGAAGCTGAGAGAATCTCCTATGAGAGACTCAAATCGATCGTTGAAATAGCATTTGACCATTCTTGGCGTGGCTCAGTCTCGTGCCCCTTCGACGTCATCCCTCTATCGCCTGTCTTTCTTGACACGTAGTGGTAGCTGGAAGTCTTCAAGCCAAAGAAACAAACCACTTCTAAACCGGCGCAACTTTCCCCTGCTACCCAGCACTTTAACCACAAACCACTACAATGATCTACTCTACGCAAATATCAAGGCTTGATGGTAGGTTAACATCCTCTATAATACCATAAATATATATACTAACACACTACAAGGCCTTATGCTCTGTGCCTCAGTCGATGATGAACAGGTACTCTCCACAACTCAGCTTTACCGCGACTTCATGCTTACGAACCCTCTTAACAGGCCGAGTCCACCCTCGCAGAGACCAAGCAGAACGTGCGCCAGGTCCTCCGCAAGCTCACACGCAACTCCGAGTCCCAGGCCTCCATCGAGACCCCCAACCATACGCTGCACTACCTCATCGACTCGGATATCGTCTTCCTCGCCATCTGCGCTCCCTCGTACCCCCGAAAGCTTGCCTTTACCTACCTAGCCGACCTCGCACGCGAGTTCACAACCACCTACCCAGCATCTCAGGTCCACTCTCCTACTCTGCGACCCTACGCTTTCATGGAGTTCGACACCTTCATCTCGAAGACAAAGACAACCTACGCCGATTCCCGAGCCTCGGCTAACCTCGATAAACTTAACGATGAGCTGCGCGATGTGACAAAGGTAATGACCAAGAACATTGAGGATTTACTCTACCGTGGAGATAGCCTGGAGCGCATGGGAGAGATCAGCTCGAGGCTGCGTGATGATAGCAAAAAGTATCGACGAGCTGCTGTGCGTATCAACTGGGAACTGCTTCTTAAGCAGTACGGACCCTTTGCGGCTCTTGGGTTCATCATCATCTTTTTCCTGTATTGGCGGTTCTTTTAAGAAATGCAAGCGAGCTGTTTCTGTTCATACATCTAATACTTAAGTCTGGCCACTTGTACTTTACTCTGGGAGTGTGCAATTTGAGAGCTACGATTCAACATTTCAGGGGTATATGAGACCCAAGTAGTGTCATTATATCAAGAGGGGATGCTGCTGAGTTGTGTACTTATGTGATCATTTATGACAAGTTAATTCGTCTATCCGTGCTGGCTTTGGCAATTCTTGCTAATCATAACCTCAATGCTGCTCCTAAACCATGCTGTCTCACCTAGGTAATACCGTATGAGACTCCAAACTCCAGATGTCACCTGCTCTACCCAAAATCATCAAGGAAAACACCATATTTTTGTTAACAAGTCCCAAAACCGACCGCTTACTCTGAACTACATCACTATGCAATTATCTGAAGCCGCCTGTGCTTGAGAGGTTGGCGCCGTCACTGTATGTTGCCATTCAAGATGTTCCTGAAACGCCTCCATGTCTTCGTAGCCCAAATCTGGTCGATATGCATCCTCGTCATCATACTGCTCTTGAGGTTCTGTTGATTCCACTTCGCAATATGGACACAGTAAACCGGCCTGCCAATCCCGAGGTTGTGGTGCCATATGATTTGCGATGGCTACGGGCGCAAATACAACCTGCTTCTCTTGGTGTCCAGACAATGTAAACGCTGTTGCTTGCCAGTGAGGGTTATCGATTGTTGGTGATAGTGTCAAAATTGGAGACGCGGCGGCTTCTTGGAACGTCCGTATCGAGGGCATATTCTCAATATCCTCCCATACTATGTGACCATCACAATAGTCGCAAACGAAAGCAATATCTCGATCGCCAAATCGCTTAAACGACCCAATAGTATTGCATAAGCGTAGCTCCTCTCGATATCTTCTCGAATACTCGGCCTCGTCTGGCACGGTCTTATTTAACGTCCATTGTCGCTGTTGTCGGTAGACGAGGAAAGCTCCCAAACATCTTGCCGACCCTTCTTTTTCCGAGCTATATATTCGACGTGCTGCTCGACATTGTGCTCTGTGTAATTTTCGCTGTAAAGCATGTGTTTCGCGGACCCATATTGGGTTGATTGGGCCGCCTGAGCGACTCCAATCTCGTATTTGTTCTATATGAGCTGTAAATTGAGCTTTGAGAGCTCTCAATTCCTCGATGGATTCATCTGGCCAATAAGTCAGTAAACGGATCCATCACTCAACTTTGTAGAAGCCTGAAGCCAATGGGAATGCCTGCATCGGAGAACACGTACGTTTTCGGTCGGTTTCGTAGTATATCTGTCCATTAACCAAAGGTGCCAATTCTTGAAAGTCCTTCTTGGCTTCGTCCAACGCAGAAGCAAGGGCGTGTACTTGCTCGTGCTCGTCCGGTCCCCAATGGCTCTTGTCGGCCAAACTGAGGATTCGCAGTCCCTGAGATAAAAGAGTCGCAATGGCCGCAAGCAATGACCCGACCGAGTCAAGGCTGCTCATGATTCGGTTTCGAGGATAAGGTTTGCGATTTTCCCCAAGTATTGGGAGGGCGCGGGGTTGCGTCGAGGCAGGATAACGTAAGCTCACAGTCTCGTGAAAGGGTATAATTCGTAGTAGAAAAAGCAATGGATTCGAAGTAGTAGAAAAACGTCAATCACCGGCGTCGTCGCGGGGCGAGGGACTGATGCGATTGGGGGCGGCGCATGAGGTTTCGTCGGCTCGAACCGGACTCCCCCGGCTCGAGAGAACAGGAGGTTACTGAACGAAGCTTGACTTGACGATATAGGTGACAAGAGCTCCAAGATAGGGCGCACAGGAGCGTTCGGCTGTGCTATTTATTTACTTGGTTGTATTCATGTAACCAAGCAACCGAAGGCATGAGGCTGAGCAATTGGTAGGTACGTAATGTTTGTAGCACTTCTGTTCAGGGTCCTTTCCGTTATTGTCAAAGTGACCCTCGTGAAGAAGAGGCTGTGCAGGCAAAAATACTGGGGGTTCCAAGGATTGATTCTTCAGACCGTCTATTGAAGAGTTTCAGGGGATGTAGAAGGAGAAAAATATGGTTAAAAAGAGAGTTGTCTCTAGCTGCTTAGGTATGGCTAGGTAGGTTATGTACGAACCGCGGACACTGAGGTGCGTACTGGGCACTGAACCCTCAAGTCTGAAACAGCCAGCTTCCATTGATACATACGTTGAATCAAAAAGCTGAGGTGAGCTCCTCCGCAAAATGACGGAATAAGGAACAGCACTGAAGTCCCCTGTAACTCACCCGCTATGACGCCCGTTAGTGGGTCGTAAATTGTAACATCCTGTCGGGTGTCCCGAACCTAGAGACCGGGATGCTCCTCTGTTCTATCATCCAAATCTATCATTCGTAGCTTCGTATATTCGTAGGGCTACGAATCAGAAGGCATACCTAGCTAGTCCACCAGTCATCTCGAGCTAAGGGAAGCTTATCAATAGACTGTCGAAGATTGTACCATAGATAAATGCAATCACAATGACTCATACGAATCATATTGTTTCATTACACGGGCCCTGAAAGATCATTCGTTGCACACAGATGGTATTGATTCCTTTGCACCTGATATTCAACTAAAAATGGCCGATTAGAACTACAACATAGTTATCAAAGTTATGACTACAGAAGCAAACCCGACAGTCTAGACCTGAGGGTCTTTCCTCGGCTCCTATTGCCGTCTGCAACTCACTTCCGCTTCTTGGCCTTGCCAGTATCCGCGCTACTGGTCTTGGCTTCGGCCTTGACATCCTCAACCAGTTTGTCCTTGGCCTTTTCCTTGGCCTCTTTGTCGTCAACAGCCTCGTCCTCTCCACCCTGGCCAAACTCGTTGACACGGCTGTAATCGATGCGGTAAGCCCATCGTTGGTAAAGATACACGAAGAAGATAACATCGTCGCGAAGAGTGGCCAAACGGTGCAAGAAAGGCATCTTGATGGTAAAGGCAAACAGATCGTCGATGAAGGTGTTGAGAAACTTGTACATCATGGCCTTGGCAGGCATGTGGGCGACACTCTTCAGCCGGTAGTTGATGTACAGCGAGGGAACCATCATCAAGAAACCGTAGGCGTAGACAGATCCCACCAAAGTAGTAATGATGTAGGAGTACCACGACTTGTGGGAATCGTAGTAGAGAGAGTAGATGCCATATGCGATCAGCAGAGGAATGCCAGCAATGTACATGTACTTGAAAGCAATCTCATCGTACTCCTTGGTCTTCTCTTCAGTCTCGGTCAACTTCTGCTTGTCCTCGAAAGCGATAGTGTAAGGGAGGAAAGATCCCGGTCCACCAGGACGAATGCGAACGTTGACAACAGTGGTGATCTTCCAGAACTCAATGACGATACCAACGACCTGAGAGCCCAAAATCATCCAGCTGGTGTTCTGAGAGTTGTCGAGGAGGTACAGGAAGATGACAGTTTGCATGAAAACATTGGCCAGGATCGAACGGACTGAGATACCGACGTTGTCCTTCTTCTTGCGGTAGTGGGCAATATCGGACCCGAACGCAAGAGTCTCGAGAATCATGTGCAAGATACTGACTACAATGGTAACGCCGAGCAAGATTGGGTTCGAGTCGAGGAATACCTCCTTGATCATCTCGATCTCGGTGCCGTCGCCGCCACCAGGAAGAGAGCCACCAAATGCTGCCTGTCGAGCAGACTCCTTGGAGTTGGTCTCAAGCGTAGACATGAGCTGAAACTGCCAGCTGGCTAGGTTACCAAGATCAATACGAAGGGGAAGTTCCTTGACGGTATCGTTGAGGAGAGTCATCTGGTTTGTCAATTGCCAAAAAGTGTTGACAAACAGAACAGGGTCTATCTATGTTAGTTACCATGCCATTGGCATATAAGTTGTTGCTACTTACAGTACCAGGCGTGCTGACCAGAGCCATCTCGGGCACCGGTAGCCTCAAGGCGCAAGTATTGTCGCATCTGAGGGGCCATCGCGGCGAAGTCCTTGACACCCAGATCGGGGACGAAGGAGAAGCTTGCATTAGGATGATAGTAGTTCGCAATAATAGGTCCAGTGGGCTCCTCCTCTTCAGGTTCCTCCTCATGCTTGGGGATATCCTCGAGCAAGTTTCGCGTCTTTGCAACCTTCTTCTTGGGAAGGTATTGTGTTAGAGGCCAAGTGAAGTAGTAGGCTTTGGACGTATCATATCCGGGCTGCTTAGGATCGAGATTACTTCCAGGAAGGCCAATGTAGAAATGCCCCCAGAGGGTACCATTATGCTGGACAGCTGGAGGAACCGTGAACTTCGTCTCAATCGTTCGCTTATCGGACTTATTGCTAAGATGGAACTCCTTCTCTTGTAGTACAAGATATTCGTCGGGCACTTGCGAGATAGGCGCTGGGTTGAACGACTGGGAGAGCGTTACGATGATATCGACGTGGCTATCTTGAGGCCAGATGGGCGCAATGTTCTTTGGGATATTACGGTATGTCGCGCCCTCGTTGAGCTCCTTCGGGCGAAGCTGGAAAGGAGGGATACCCTCGACATTCCCAGGGACTGTAACGGCTTCACCTGTCTCTGGATTGGTGACTGTAACTCCTCGTTGGTCCTTTTTCAAGGCCAAGTTGAGGGCCGCATTGATGCCAAAGTAGATGGCGCCGCCGAGGAGAAGCTTGTTGAAGCTGAAACCCTGCATAGAATCGACATTAGTGTATGGTTACGATGTGAGATTTGCTTTGCGATGACTTACACCACCACCGCCGCCACCTTGCTGCTGCTCGCCTTGACGAGGAGGCAAGACTTGAGCTTCAGCCATTGCGTCTGCTTTCTATTCAATTGCAGAGAATGGCAGACGTTGTGCAATGGATTGAAGAAGACCTGCAGGATACTACCTTGATACTAGAGTCAAGGTTGTTGGTTGTTGCACCTGAGGCGACGTGTTTGGTTGGTCAGAGTTCTGAGAAGTTGGAGGTTGCTCCAAGGATGGAAATTGGAAATCCCCTCGCAGTCCACTTCAGGCTCCATGACAGTTGACGTTGACGTGCTGTGGGCACCCACGAATAGCGATTGGCCACCTGAACACGTACCCCTGTACCTTTAACTGCGGCGGCCGTTGTCGGCTCGGAGATTGACCACGTTTAAAAGATGCGTCCACTAAAAGAGTTTGAGATACAGTGCATCATGGGGAGATCATGGCCCCGCCATTGAACGCATCAATGATGTTCAAGACAATGCTCACGATGCGAGATTCATGCTAAGCCATGCTGAGAATCGCCCTATCCTGCTAGAACACGCCTCATGTCCCGGTGACCAGCTGACCTCAGTCATCAATGCCATTGTCCAGTAACATATCTCGTAAGTGGCAATTTGTAGTGGCACAACTTACATGAATGCATGGAGCACAGCCGCAAGCAGCACCTCCGAAGACGTGGCTCCCGTCGCTCCATATCAATAGCCCGATAGGCCGTTGACAGATGTCTGTGTTGGTCAACTAACTTGCTTAACTAGTTCCTGGGCTATTCATATGACTAGTATATAAGCTGGTAAACTTTCATTCTCTTGACTCTTTCTTGTTTCTATTTCCTTGTTGAATCACGATTTATGCTCAAAGTTTGACTCATCTGGGATATTCTTAGTTCAAGTTGAACACTTCACGGTCGCCACATAAGACTCACCGAAACAAGTATTCCATCGTTACCCGCCTCCATCATTGTTCTCACTTTATTATATCATAAATAGCCCTCCTCCGTACGAGCTCAACTCTTTTTCAAAACTTAGTCGAATCCTTTTAGAGACAACCTCTTTATATACACTATCATAGCCTACAGTCTTTACAACAAATCAACAAACAAGCCCATCATGACTGCTGACAGCACCATCCCATCACAGGCAGCCGTTGTCTCACAGAATGGCCACCCTCGAACTAAGATTTGCGTCTACTGTGGTGCTGCTCCTGGCGCGAGTCCTGCTCACATTGAAGCTGCTCGTGCTCTTGGGAGAGCCATGGCTGAAAACAATATTGACCTAGGTGAGTCATATCAGAGAGGCGGTCCGCCAGCGACGGATACCATCGCGGGCCGCCAACCGCCGACCTCCGGGTATGACCCCGTCATGGCTAACACCGGACAATAGTTTACGGAGGTGGAACTGTCGGACTTATGGGCGAGGTGGCAAAGAGTCTCTGCGCAATCAACGGCCCTGAGTCTGTTCATGGTATCATCCCTGAGGCTCTGGTCAAGTTTGAACGAGATGGCACCTACGGAACTGTCGATGAACATAACCACATTGTACCAGAGGAGTCTGTCTATGGCCGCACTACAGTTGTCAAGGATATGCATACTCGAAAGAAGCTCATGGCCGAGGAGGTTTTTGCTGGTGGTCCCGGCAGTGGCTTCATCGGCTTGAGTGGCGGATTTGGTACCATGGAGGAAATCTTCGAGACAACTACTTGGAACCAACTGGGAATCCACAACCGCGGCATCGTTCTACTTAACATTGAGGGCTACTGGGACGGTATCGTCCAGTGGATGGACCGCGCTTCTGAGGAGGGTTTTGTAAAGCCTGCCAACAAGAACATCCTGGTTAACGCCGACACCCCTGAAGGCGCAATCAAGGCTCTTCGGGAATACAAGGTCTCAGATGCCATCTATCAGCTTCAATGGGGCAGTCAGTAAGGAATTGGTTTGAGGCGCTGGATCAGGATCCGGGTTTGGATTTGGAAACTGGAGCCAAACAGGTGTTTTAACGGTGTTTACGGATAGTTCTTCGTTTCCGCATTTCTAGGATAGGATAGACTGGCGGCTCCATAAATAGACGGACTGATGACCTAAGCCACCTGCTCTGTTGTGACCGACCAGACGTGAGACCCATGAAAAGCTGTCTTTGCAGCATGTAATTGTACATGATCTATTTAGCTAGCAACCCGACGCCACGTGTATCCGCTTCATCATTCGTCACACGTTTAGCTGTCCACATCCATGCCCTCACCGTCGCCTTCCTCTGCGCCACCTTGACCCTCGCCAACGCTCTCGATCCATGGCTGTACCTCGAATCCATCGTACAGCTTGAAGGGCTCGACCTTCTTCTTGCCGTCCTTTGTGTTGATGCCCACTACACCGACTGATGTGTTCTCTACTGTAAGCTCCTTGTCCTGAACCAAACTCTCCTTCAGAGCCTTAAGACCGTGCTTGACCAACTCCTCCCTTGAACAGTCGGCGAACTCGTCGATGTTGCGCTCAAGGTATGTTCGAGCCATTTGGCTTCGCGCGCCAATGGCAAAAGCAAGCATCTCCTCTGTCATGCCTGAGGGCTGGAACTCGAACAGGTGGGGACCGCGCTCGTCAACACCGGCAACTAGCAGACCAACACCGTAAGGTCGCTTTCCGTACATTTGAGTGTTCATCTGGGCCTTCTCACCGATCATGTCGACAAGGGATCGGAGGGGAATGGCACGGCCGTAGGTGAGTCGGTGTCCTAGACACTGCTGCTTCATGAAGTTGGAGAGAACGCGAGCATCGGAAGTAAGACCGGCGATGGCGATACCAGCATGTTCGTCGACAGTGAAGAGCTTCTTCTGGTAGGATGAGAGTTCCTCTGCGTTTCGCTATGAATGTGTGTGTTAGAAGAATGACTTCGAAAGCTCCCGTACGGGACAATAATGTATGGAGGGGCAGGGGAATAGTCGTACCTTGACAGCACAAAGAACGGCATGGGTCTTGCTGGCGATACCGACAACGACTGAACCTTGCTTCACTGCCTCAGCAGCATATTCAATCTGGAATATTCGGCCCTGGGGCGAGCTTGGGGAAAGTCAGCTTGCTCAAGGTGCCAGGATAGAGCTAACAGCTTAGGTGACGTACAAGGTAACGGAATCGTTATCGTAGTTGTTTCTGAACATGATGAATTATTAGCTGCTCTAGCAGCGCCGCGTAGAATGTGATCGGTGAGATTGCGCGAAGCAAATATCGTTATGCGTGGGTTGCGATGGAGAGCTTCGTTGGAGGTGGATTTTGGGCGTTGGTTGTTAGTATAGGTCGGGATGGAGTTGAGGTGGTTGAGCACCAGGCAGCTCAAGCTTCGTAGCCTGGGGCTGGTTGCGCTGGGACCTGCAGCCTTCCATTCTGCCGTGGATGACCCGCCACACCGCCTGCTAAATCGGATAGCTCCATGATGACATTGGGTCTTTGAGGCTCTTTGTTTTCTCCCCACGATAAACCAAAACGAACTCTCTGGCTCTATGAGAAAGGGTCAAGTTGAAGTACGGAATCATGGACTGGTGTTAGGCGTGATGCATCCTCAACCACCCGGCTGCCCGCTCGTACATCCCTAATTAGAGTCTTCTTAAAGCTGATAGTTCCATGCTGTCGATGTCCTGTGACCTTCATTCTGAATCCCGCCTGGCATCATGAAAAGAAAGCGATGTGGCAAGTTTAACTTATTCACTTGTCTTTCAGCTGGCGGAGAAGGTTCGCTGCAAAGTTTTTAAGTTCCTTGACGAGAACTATGGGGTTTGTCCCTGCAAGGTTGTACACTTGTCTTATTGGACGTGACCTGATGAAAGCATGGCGAGACTACGCCTGACTTACTGTTAGAGAATCGAGCGACGGAGCTTATTTGACTTGAATGTACTGAAAGAGTTGCAATTCCAGAAGAACACAACATGACGAATAGCTCTCAGGTGCTAGGAGTGTTCAACCAGAAAAACACACTGCTATGGTAACAGCTGGCGAGAGACGTTGTTGCTCCGATTTGGCAGGCTAGTAGAAGGATACATCTGCTTTATGAGCCAATTGCTGTCGCTTGGAACCCTCACTAATAATGCATATCAATGATGAACTCAATCAGACCCGTTGAAGCATATTGGCGGTCGAGGCTTGGAGAAAGAAAACATATTCCCTTACTATAAGCAAGCTCTATTGCGGATAATGACCTGGAATACATGCTGTCGACTAGTCTGTTCTCTTGATTGCACTAATTTGGTCTTGAGGAGCTTCTGTTGTAGAAAATATCTGTTTTAAAGACCTTGGTGTGCTCGGGTAAATATATGAAACTCTCATCGAGAATCCTGAAATTACTGCTGTTCTTTGACAATCTGGGTTGGACTCATCAGGCATGTCCGGTAAAGCCTTTTCTGGGGCAATACACTCCAGAACACAATATGATATTCCGAACTTGACTAGGTAGGTTTGATTGCTGGATGGACGTTCTAATATCTGCTGTGCCAGCCTGGTAAAACCCCCAATTGGTGCGGAGCCACCACATTGATGGCCATTTTAGCCTCAGCGAATAACGATTGCAGTTCACAGCCATCACGGTTCACCAATCTGTTGAATTATCGAGGATTTGAACAAGATCTGTCCATTCTTGACTGCTATACACATACCCCTCATTTCTTCAAATTTGCTCTTGTCATACCAAACTCACCTTCCCAGAGTCATACGTTGAATATCGGATCCCTCTTGTGGGCATTTCTATTGGATGACTCACTGTGACTTACAGTAAATACCCGCGACTTTTAGACAACTCCAGTTTTTATCCTCTCGCATATTCACACACTCTTCTCTCAACACAACAACATCATGCCTTCCAGATCTGAGATCACATATTTCGGCGCAGGCCCTGCCTTGCTGCCCACAGACGTCCTTGAGAAGGCTGCCCAGGCCCTCATTGACTATGAGCATACCGGATTGGGTACAGCCAAAATCTCATAATTCATCATGAACGTCACTAATCAAATGACAAGGTATTGCTGAGCACAGCCATCGTTCAGAGCTGGCTACAAACATCATCAACGAGGCTAAGGCTGATCTTGCCTCTTACATTGACATTCCCGAGGACTATGAGGTTCTTTTCATGCAGGGTGGTGGAAGTGGAGAGTTCTCCGCTACCATGTACAACCTTGTCGGTGCATGGGTGACAAAGAAGAAGGCCCAGATTGTTGCCAACCTCAAGGCTCCGGAGGACGACCCTCGTGTGGAGCAGGAGCTCAGAAATGCAGTCGAGAAGGAGCTCAAGACGGACTACATTGTTACTGGTGGCTGGTCTCAGAAGGCTTCTGAAGAAGCCAAACGACTGCTTGGTCCTGAGCATGTCAACATTGTCGCTGACGCCCGCCAGATTAACGATGGCAAGTATGGCAAGATTCCTGAGGAGAGCACCTGGAACCTCTCCAAGGAAGCTGCTTTGGTGTATTATTGCGATAACGAGACCGTCGATGGTGTAGAATTTCCTGCTTTCCCTCAGTCCCTGACCCCTGGACCTGACGGCGAGGGCCCTATTGTTGTGGCCGATATGTCCTCCAACATCCTGTCGAGGAGAATCCCTGTCCGAAACTTCTCAGTCATCTTCTTCGGCGCCCAGAAGAACCTCGGCTGCACTGGTATCACCGTTGTGATTATCAAGAAGAGCCTTCTTCCTCCCAAGACACCTCAACCTCCTCCCGCACTTCTTCGACGACTTGGACTTCCTATCCCTCCTATCATCTTCTCTTACGAGACTATCGCCAAGAACAACAGTCTCTACAACACCCTTAGCATCTTCGAGTAAGCGCTTCTATAAGACACGTGTGATACATGTACTGACTAGACTTAGTGTCTATATCGCTGGCCAAGTTCTCAAGAAGTCACTCAGCACCTATAACAAGGTTGAGGGACAGGAGGCCGTGTCCGCCAAGAAGGCCGAGCTTATCTATGGTGCTCTTGACGCCCACCCCGATGTGTACAGAGTTGTCCCTGACAAGTCTGTTCGTTCAAGGATGAACATCTGCTTCCGCGTTACCAAGAATGGCGACACTGATGGCACAGAGAAGGCTTTCCTTAAGGAGGCCACTGCACAGGGTCTCACCGGCCTCAAGGGTCATCGAAGCGTGGGTGGTATTCGTGCCAGCAGCTACAATTCCATTTCCTTGGAGGGCGCCGAAAAGCTTGCCAAGTTCATTGAGACGTTTGCTACCTCTTAGAAAAAAAAATTCAATCATGAAAAGTTTGAGCTGGATGGTTTGAGGATTTTATGGAATTGATCAGATGCGTGTACGACATCAAGGATAAAAGTCAACCTAGATGGATGTTGAATTCAACATGCTCCATGAGGATAAAGAATAAGAACCAAATAAATGAAGCGTAATAAAAGGAGCTATGCTTAAACAACTTGTACTGGTGATGGTCCTCTAGGTATGTTGAACATCCATCACCGTGACCCTGATGGATGAGTTTCAGTGGATTAGCGCACTATCAGTTTGATACGATCAGTGGGCCCTGAGCGCTATAACATGGAATCAACCTCAGGTTTCTCTCTTGTTTGTGTCTCCAACCAGGAAAACTCAGCCAATACTCATTTGTTTCTCCCGAATACAGCGTCTATCGTCTTCGCTCTAAGAAAACCAGAGCAAATAAAAATTAGAACAAGTTTGAACATCTCATTATCACTCATTTCGCCGATGCTGAGACGCAGTCTCCTAAGGAGACTCAATTGCAAAGCGAATCGCTCTCGAGTCTTCTTATCCCCATTCTATATTAGCAAGTGCAACGACCAACTCTTTACACAACCTTTGCGGTATTCTATTGCCTCGGCATCAAAGCCATATTCACATCAGTCGTGGCATACTCAAAACCCTGAATTTGTATCCGGACTACCAATCATAGATGACACCATCTATGCTCTATCAACGGCGCAGGGTCGGGCCGGTATCGCGGTAATTCGCATTTCTGGCCCATCATGTCTTGAGGTGAGTGTCATACAAATTACTATATATACAGTATCTAATGTTGGGCTGAAGATTTATGAGGCACTTTGCCCATCAAAACCATTACCAAAACCAAGATATGCAAAAGTACGGTCCTTATATGACCCGCAGCATGCCAATAATGAGCAGATAGTGCTGGACTCAGAAGCTCTTGTTCTTTACTTTCCTAGCCCAAAGACTGTAACTGGTGACGATGTCTTGGAGTTGCACGTTCATGGAGGATCAGCCACTGTAAAAGCTGTGTTAGCAGCCATTCCGAAATGTTCCGCTACACATCGTATTCGATACGCAGAGCCTGGCGAGTTTACGAAGCGCGCCTTTTTCAACGACCGCCTGGATCTTGCTCAAATTGAATCCCTGAGTGACACCCTGGCAGCTGAAACGGAACAGCAACGTCGTGCAGCTGTGCGAGGCAATTCAGGTGTTCTTGGACGACAATACGAGACATGGAGAGAGCAGCTCTTGTTGGCTCGTGGTGAGATCGAAGCATTGATCGACTTTTCCGAAGACCAGCACTTTGACGAGTCCCAGGCTGAATTGTTACAGAATGTGACTGCGCAGGTTGCTAGGATGCTACACAGCATTGAGCTGCATGAGCAGGGAAGTCAAAGGAGCGAGCTTTTGAGGAACGGAATTCGTATAGCGCTGTTAGGGCCACCCAATGTTGGTAAGAGCTCGCTTATGAACCTGATCGTTGGGCGCGAGGCATCTATTGTGTCCGGCGAAGCAGGCACAACGCGAGATATCGTCGAGGCGAGCTTAGACATTCGCGGCTATTTATGTTCATTTGCAGATACGGCAGGATTTCGATCCAAAGGTTCCCAGGTGATCAACGGGGCTGATAGTGGCGCAATTGGGGCCGTGGAAGAAGAAGGTATACGGCGAGCAAAGCAACGAGCTCTGGACTCTGACCTTGTTATAGTCCTAGCATCCGTGGAGGATGGTCAGAATGGACCATTTGTGCAATACGACCAAGAAACGCTCGATCTCGCTGCAGGGGCGGAGGACTGTGTTGTTGTTGTCAATAAGCAAGATGCAGTTGGTAAAGAGGAATTTGAGAAGCTGGTTCAAGATTTCAGAAAAATCGTTCGAATTCGAGCCCCCAAGCTAGCGGCGGCGGAGTTCGTGTCCGTATCGTGTAAGGAGGCTCAGGCAGGGACATGGGAAAGCAAGGATCCTGGCGGTATCCAGGCTGTGATCACCAAGCTCGTGGCATCCTTTGAGAAGATGACATCCATGCCTGTCGATCTTCAGGACCTGCTAGGCGTTACAGAGCGTCAGCGCCAGCTCCTTATCAAGTGTCGTCGACACTTGGAGGACTTCATGATGGAGGCTGCCCCTGAAGAGGGCTTGGATGCTGATGCCGTCCTCGCGGCCGAGTATCTAAGGTATGCTGCGAATTGCCTTGCACGGATCACAGGGCGGGATGAGTTTGGAGATGTTGAGGATGTACTGGGTGTTATCTTTGAAAAGTAAGTTCTGACAAAATTGTGTATGAGATGTCTGACAAGATGCTGATTTGAGACGTGTTAGATTCTGTGTGGGGAAATAAGCGCGTGGCAAAGAAGACTATAGCGATGAGAGATTGGTGGGAGAGTTGAAATATATTTTCCATCGAGGAATATTCTATAGAGAGCAGCTGGTCTGAACAATTGAAAGACTCAATGTTGGGCCACCTGGGCCTGGTCTAGTCGGTTATGGAAAGAGAAAGCGAAAATAAATTTGAGATGAAGTGACAAGAAAAATAAAGCAAAAGGAAATATATCATGCTGTATGCTCGCTCCTATGCCATGCCATGCCATGCCAACGCTGTGTGATGCTATGCTTCCGTCTTTTCCAACTCCTGATATGCGATGCCGTGTCTGCAACATGTTCCTCCGAATACCAATGCTGATGATGAGAACAAAACAAAACTCCGTTCCATGCAGATGTTGTTGAAACTAGTGTCTAAACAGAAAACTCCGTTCCATGCTTGCGCTGTCGCTGTGTATGCTTTTGGGAAGTGACTCAAGAGTAACAAAGGAGTTTACTCCTCGTCATTGTCGCTGGGACCATTGTAGCCAGAGCGACCCTTGTTGCCCTTGGAGGAATCATCGTCTTCAGGGCCGTTATAGCCAGAGCGACCAGAGTCTCCTTCCTCAGGCTCGTTGTAGCCAGATCGACCACGGTTGTTTGTGGGCTTGGAGTCAGAGTCGTCACCGTCCTTGTTGTAGCCAGATCGGCCGAAGGATCGAGTGGTGGGAGCAAATGTGAGAGTGAAAGCAGCCATTGTAAATGTTGTAGAGTTGAGTTGAGTTAAGTATGACTTTTGAGTGAAGATGGAAGTTGAGTTGAGTTGAGTTGAGTTGAAAGAGTTGAGTTGTTGTATGTAAATGTTGAGTTGTAGTGTAGTTGTAGAGTGTAGATGAAACTGGTTGTTGATGGTGATGAGAATTCTAATTCAGAGCAGGAGGACATGGACAGTTATATAGAAACTGAGTCAACTATAGAACGAAGCCAAGGGTAACTAAGCACATCGCAGATAGGGATCCTCGGTGGACGGTGGAAGCGGCTGACTCTGACTGACGCCTGTTCGTTCGTTTGTGTTGTCGTATCATGACGATCAAGCACACCCTTAGCATGGGGGCAACAAAATAGAAACACACTACATAGCGTATCGTGCTAGGTTTGGCTACCTTAGGCTAGGTAGATTACAGCAGTGCCCGTTGTTCCGCCCTTGCCATGCCATGGAACCTTCTTTCGCTTCCGTCAGTCTGCGCCATGTCGCCGAGCTGACAGGGAATCCATCAAAGCCGTGAGTGGTGGAGGACACCATCGTAGGGCTGAGGGCAATGGTTTATGGGGGACCGGACCTTGCAGTTACAGGGGTCTTTGTCAAACGGTGTAAGTTAATAAGTAGCCACGCCCACGGTACCCGGGGTAGGGGTCGGGTCGGGGTGCGGAAGACCCGGGCCGTATCCAGTCAAGTCGCTGCGTATTGTATTACTGAGTGAGTCTTTTGAGTGTTGATGGGCTTACGGGGCTTGGGCAGGGTATACGTTATAATAAGCCACAGCCTCAAATGAACACCCTTGTACATGTAATCAATCATGCCCACGGCTCTGGCCATGGACCTGGAGCAGATGCAGAATAGATGCATCATGGTAGTTTTTTTTTACCCCCAACAATGCAATTGTTCAAGATAACATATCAATGAGTTTGGAGAGTTGGTGTGGAGACGGAGCTTAGATACGTAAATACGCACCTCTAACATACTGCATAGTATTCGTATTATGATCCCGCCCATACTATTCCACACTCTTGGTACTGTATAAATGTCAAGACAATTGCGGATTTGCAACGCAGAAACGTCATCAAGGCTGACAAATGAGGCCGTGTGATTCCAATTCCATGAAAACTCCGATTAGGTTCGGAGTCAATCATGGAGTTTAGAGAGAGACAGAGTACGGTACGGTACGGACGGAGTAGACAAAGAGATTCCAATTAATCCCGGTTGAAATTCGTTGAATGTGTCAACGTGTACTTGACTGCATGCGCGTCCCATATCGCAATAGGCACAGAGAAGAAGCTTCCAAAGTGCAATTTCTCGTCACATGGGCACTTTTGATAAGTTTAAAAGGTTGCCTAAAAGACAAGACATTTACATGAGGCATCGCAATAGCGAATAAGTCAGCAAGTTGCACCATTTATTCTGTCATCCCGCTTTGTCATCCCGCAAATGGCGGATGCAGCCACAGGAGCCATGACGCGACTTCCCCATTGGCGTGCATCGGTCAAACCCGTGTTTCCGCCTACCGAAGGAACAAACTGCCACAGATTCCAGGGCCCTTTTCCCTAATCATCATCACCGAAGAGTCACCCTTTGCATATTCCGCCTTTCTTACTAAACATGAACTCTTTCTCTTATCATGACTCATCTTGCACCGTCAATTGATTATTGAAACCAACAAAAGAACCTTGTCAGGTTCCCGAATATTGCAGTTACTCAATCGGTCTCGTGGGGGCAGAAGAATGAAACGTCACGTTCAAATCGAGACAACCTCAACTTACACCACGCGCACTCTATCACCCACACTCACACCCATGAGGTAGTCGTCGAACAGCCCCTTCTGACCTTACTATCACTCGTACACTAGTCTATTGGGTGGCCGGGACTCCTTCATTCCGGTCGGCACGGCATCTGGTCTTACCCGTCAGTCAGGTTCAGGTTCAGGCCCTTTCGCCGGCCAGCGCGGGCCCTCCCAATCCCTTGGGACCTAATTTCTGAGCATCCAACTCCCCTCGATACTGAGACTCGACGGGGGTTCTCGATTCTCACTGAGATCTCTGGTACCGCTTCTCATTGGCCAGACCCCCAAACAGCCATGTTAAGCGCCTGCTGTGAATGACCAACGAGCTGAAAGGTCGAACCATTGACGCATTTGCTCCCAAGAATCGCCAATGCTACGCTTGTTCTATCAATGGAAACATTTCGCGATCGGAAATCACATTTCAATCACATCATGATGTCCGTCGAGTCTCGAATTCTTACAAACAGCCGCAATGGTACACCAACCTCACCCTGCCACACACATGTACCCTTGTCGAGTTTAAGCGCCTTAAAAATAGAAACAACGTTATGATTGGCCAATTGGCGCGCTGTCGCTTCATCTGACTGTTTTCGCTACGGTAGCTCAGTGCATAGCCCCGGACAGGCTCCAATTGATCCAATCACCAGGCTTAGACGGTACACTCACCACCACGAGGCATTATCCAAGAAATCAGCCTTGCAACCTAGACCAGGCCCTTGTATTACTGTTTCTACCTAAGACCTAAGACATGAACCATGTTTCTGCCGTCTCGGCTACCTCTGAGACATTACGGATATAGCTTTCCAGATCCTTGCCTGCTGTTTTGTTTCTGCTTACTCCCCTGAGCCATGTCTCGGGAAGGATTGCAACGCCTGCTACGGTGTATCGGAGGGTTCCCTTGGGCGTGGAAGCTCGGGTTCCACCAATATAGGTTGCAGCCTGTTCACGTCGAAGCTATACACAATCTATCAACCTCATGCACTCAAGCAATTCTGGGCATTTCTAAGAATGGTTGCATCTACGGATCTGCGGCTTATGTCTCGGCAGCTACTCTCGTCCCGGAAGCAAGCCGGTAGACTATGACTGGTAACCGATGCAAGAATCGTGACATTGCTAGAAACCCGCTGACGTTGATGTTGACTAAACACAAGCACCCTTTCTTTTTCGACTTCATCGACAACCTTCGGCCATTTGAATAAGTTCCACCGACGCCACTAAGACGTTGACAGCCTGCCGATCCGTATGGCACACAAACCACAGTCACCGATCTGCACCCATTGAGCCATCACCAGGCACCAGGCATCAAATCACAGCCATCCGTCGCACAGAAGCACCAAAACAGAGTTTGGAGGCTCTGTACCTGACTTGCCCAATATGGTAGAATGTTTCGACCCCTGTTCCCAGCCTCATAGCCCCCAAGCCTCACAAAGCCTGCATGGCTTGAGGATGCGGTACGAGCCGTGGGATTGCTTTACGATGCATGTCTTGGCTGTGACTAACCATTAACCAATAGCCGGTATGTTTCAATTGGCATATCAGGATACACATAACACCTTTTCAAAGCAGTCCTACATTGCCTTGTTATATTCTGACCCATTCACAGCTCGTCCTTGGCATGAGCCTCCTGACTAGGATCTTCCATAGCCATGATCTTGACAACAAGACTGGTCCATCCAGTGAAGTGCTGTGTTCGCTGGCCGGCACCCGTGTCGGGGTTGTACTGCTCCCAGGCGAAGCCTGTTTCTTCCCAACTCTTGTACACGGTGTCAACAAGGTTCTTACGGAGACGTGTGAACAGATCTTTCGCTTTTCCCCTGTAGGGGCCTTCCTGCGAAGCAACGTTCTATATGCACATGTTAGTCTTTGTACTACTTCGCCAAGGGGACATCTGGGGGAAACCCTACCTGTAGTTGAGACAAAGCCAGGTAGTTGATAGGCATCCACACCGGGCTGCGCCAGTAGTTCTCGCCCGTGGCGTAGAACTCATCCTTTTTACTCAAGCTGCGAATGCCGTGGGGGCTCCAGAGGTGCTCCTCGTCACCGACCAGATCAAGAATCTTGCCCAGCTTGGGGTCGTCAGCCTTCATCAGGCCGACCAGGAAAGGGAACAGGGAAATGTAGCCCTTGTGGCATACGAGCGCGTGTTCCTCGTAATCATCGATCGTTGCGTCGCAATAGCAACCGTCCTCATCAGACCAGTGGAGATCATTGAGGTTGTGCTCGATGCCGTCCAAGTTCTTCCTATACTCATTCACATCTTCGGCCATGCCGAGGGCGTCTGCGATGTTCATCAACGACTTTGTCATCAGCCCAACCCAGGACATGAGATCGACGTGCAGCTCGCCCGGCGAAGGGGGCTGGGGTCGAGGATAGTCGTCCAGGCCACTGGTGAGGATGTGAGTCTCAGTACGGCCCCTCCATCTGTATGCTTCCTTGGTTGAGTATGCCTCACGGTCATAATTCTTGATGTCACCTCGCTGAGTTTTGCGGAACCAGTCATATTGTTGTCTCAACAGGGGGTACAACTTTCGAAGATAGTTCTCGCCGAGCTCAATATTGTCGAGGTGAGCGGTTTGCAGAGGGTCGGCCCCCAGAATGCGTTCCTTTGCCTCGCTCTTGGTTCCGTTTGATGCGCGAAGACGCTCCATGAAGCCCTCGATGATAAGGAAGAGGGTAGGGGGGTTGGCATAATGCGGAAATTGCACTTGAAACTCAGGGGGGACCTTACTCCGGGCCTCGTGACCTAGAATCTGTTCGCGCGCGATCCAGCCATCTTCGTCCATAGTGTTGTACCAGCTCTTGACAATCTCAAGTGTGAGGTCAATATCCCAGTCGGCAATGGGAATCAGGTGAAATCCCTCATCCCACAGGAAGCCGCGGGGGAAGAAAGGGCGAGAAGGAACACTGGTGAAAAGCTCATAGGGGCCTTCGAGTTCTGGCTGTGTGCGTGCCTTGGCTTGCGCGGCCTCCTCCCAGAACCCGTCGTTCTGCTCCTCATACTCAGGCGCATACGATCGATCAATTAGCTGGTGACCATGGAAGTACCCTATGCCGCCAATAAGGTTTGACAGCATGCTCTTGCCGAATTTCTTGTACTTCTCCTGTGTGAAAGGCTCCTTGAGCTTGAAGGTGTTGGTGAAACGCTCGTTGAAGATTTCTGAAGTCTTCTCGATCTGTTCAGTAACCTCCTCAGAAGTAAACTCCTTGCCTCCAGATTCGGATGAAAAGATGACATCGAACTCGAACCGTCCCTCGAAGGTCTTCTCGACTATATGGACGTTGCCTTTTCCAGGCGCATGGGCAATACGGTACACCTGCCACGGTGGAGGCGGGTCCGCCTGGTCAGCATTCTGCTGCACGGGCGAAACGGCATCTTGAAGTTGCTTGAAGACAACGGGCTTGCCCTGCCAGGTAAGGTCGGCTGGGACCTCAGTACTCGAGACGATGGTTGTGTCGCCATGTCGATCTTCCAGAAACTTGTGATCTGTTGAAGGGTGCTCTCCGGTACCCTTTGTGATGAGAAGCTTGTAGTCTCCTAGCGCCTTTGAACTGCCCTTAAGAGTAACGTCGTCTTTGAAACCATACTTGGTACCCTCACCTTCAACAGCAAGTTCGCCATCACCATCCTGGGCGATATAATAGAATAGCATAGTCCTGGTGTTTTTGGGCGCGCCGTCTCGCAGCTCGCCCCTGATTCGGGCAGCCCAGCTGCCACCATGATTTCCACCGGGGATCTTCACAAAAGTAGTCGTCAGGTCGATGTTGTTGCCCTTGTCGTGAATTGACTGCACACCGCCTATGCGGGCATCATACTCATCCCATCCGTAGCCATGCATATCTTCTCCCTGCTCGCAGGTATATCTGAAACCTAGAAGGCAAGTGTTAGAGCATTCAAATCACGAAGCTCGTTATTTCTTACCATTCTGAATATCATGGTAGTTGTCAACCTTCCCCCACATGAGCCCTGTCCATAGACCATCTGGTGTTCGTGGTCGCACGCCAAAGTACAGATTGGACTTGTAGGGTCCCCAAAAGAGGCTCTGGTTGTTTTGACGGCCGATTTCTGTCGTCAGCACAGAAGATGCATCGTCTGCGGCTGAGACGCCCAGAGCGAGTGTCGCCGCCGACACCCAATGGGCAATTTTCACCATACTGACGTTAAAAAGTGTTTCTCACAAGCCTCTAGAAGAGAAAGTGAGATACGGATTTTTTTTGAGCGAATCCTAGAGTTTTCAATTCCTCATCGGGTGAGTTTGTGTGAGAACAAGCTCCAGAGAACACGTAGGAGTAGCAAATTGATATGACGACGCAAGGCTGAGAGTTGGAGACGATCAGGGGTCCATGAGAGCTCGGGCCAATGATGAAGCTTCACCAGCCACCGCCACTTGAAGCTCAAACTCCACTTAAAAGTTATCTCGTTTCAGCCTTCCTCTTTCTAGAACTTGTTGGATGCATTTTCGAACACTCTTCACCTTACAGTGTCAATATCTCAAGATCATCAGCAAATTCTCAGTACCGGAATCAAAATCTACAACACACATAATGGGAGACTCTAGGCGAAATAGACGACCCGATAGTCGTCAAATGTGGGACGAATCCGACAGACGCGATAGGCGCGGAGGACACAATAGGGACAACGACCGCGATCGCAGAGGCTACAGGTCAAGGTCACGCGAGCGCCGTGGATACAGAGATCGATCGAGATCGCCGGACAGGAGACATCGAGACCGAGATGTTGATAGGAACCGACCTAGGGATAGAGGCCCGCGCCATCATGATGATCGAGATAGGAGGGATAGACGGAGAGAGGATGCAGAGGGTGCGCCACCACGACTGAGAGGAGATGAGCGTCGTGACGATGATAGAGACAAACGAAGTATGCGCCCACACCCCCATTTCAACGTTATGAAAACCTAACTTGCCACGCAGGCAAATCTCGTCGCTCAGCCTCACCGCAATCACGAAGTCCTACTCACGAAGCACTTCCTACGCGCCCTCGCCCCGACGCAAAGCGCCCGGCACCAAATATGTCCTTCAACGTCGGCTCTCGTGCAAGCCGCTCACCACCACCGCCATCACGCGCGCAGCGTGAAGAGGAAAGCAACCGCTCAGAAGAGGGCCAGGCTTCAGAGGTTGAAGAAGATCCTATGGACGCAGAGGACGACGATATGGCCGCTATGCAGGCTATGATGGGCTTCGGCGGATTTGGAACGACCAAGAACAAGAAGGTTTCAGGCAACAATGCTGGTGGTGTGCACAAAGAGAAGAAGACGGAGTATCGTCAGTACATGAACAGGAACGGTGGATTCAATCGGCCTTTGAGTCCATCACGCTGAGCATGCTGGCTAGACGGCGTTGATGCAGTACGAGTTGTGATCTCCGTGAGGACAATTGGCACTTTTAAGGTTGTGCCGTAAAGGTAAACTGGATTGGCGTATGGGTTTTCCTGCTAAACGAGCGCAGAGGTATAATAATTGTGTGGAACATCAAAGTTTACAGTTATTTTGCATGTGTAATGCATTCTCAGCCCTACTTTCTCGTTCTTCTATCGCATTACTCTCACATCAATGCATGTTCTGGGCTTAACTTCGACCATCCCAAGACTGCCTATTTCTTCAACTTTTACTACGAAATCCTCCATTTTCACAAGCCAGTACAAGCTTCAGCGGAACATATGCACCGGTTTCGCCATGGCCATCCCTACGCCATGTAGTATCTTCTGCTCTTTTGAGGGTGTCGTACTCAGTATAACAGCCATCCATATAGTTCTCACCACCTTGCGGAACTGGATATGTGGACCCGCTACTCCTACACCAGAAGAGCTTATACGATCAAGACGCGGAAATCATGCCGGTCGATCGGCCGTGAACAGAGTAGCTGAAGCTGCTCCCCGGCCAGCCGCTGACAAGCACCCTTACCATAGGCCTTGTCACAGCTGGTGGTGGTATGCTATGGCCTTATGGCCAGCCCGTGATGACCTTCTTCGTAAGCCTCGTCGCAAATGGTGGTGGTACATTTTGGCCCTGTGGCCAGCTCGTGATGACCCAAGTCGGCGTTTCATTCTGACCACGGCCTGGTCCATCAGTATACTCACCTTCATTTTCTTCTTGCGTGAGATATCTCCGGACATTTATCAGGGTCATGTTCGATTCTTTACGATTCTCTCGTTTCTGGCACTCGAAGTCGGACGCGCCGCTTACTTCTACCATCTCTTGAAAGACTGCTCTGTTCTTGTTCAAGAAGTATGCATTGGTCTCATGGGTCATGTCACTGGTGGTTTCTGCCGCCTCGGCAGTCTATTCGCCGTTCCCTGACGAAACATTGAACAAGGAGCGACTGGGTGGCGACAAGGAAAGTCAACGGAAACCCTGAATCACGATGGGAGGACGAAATCTTGGGTGGAAAAGACTTCAGGACAGTTGAACGGTGGACAACACTGTCGAGGAGGGTTTGAGTTACAAGGTCAGGGATGAAAAGGTCACAAGCGCCTGTATGCGATCGGGTCTGAACAGCATGGACAACCTACACGCTTTTTGGGTCATATCAGATGGACAGGGACTTGCTCAAAGGCAGAACTTGGGTTGAAATACGCTAGGTAAAGCCACTCCTAGCTGAGTCAGGGTACTCAATTTCTGACTGTCACTTGCGACCAGTACTGCAATATCAAGATCACCATGACACACAAATTGTTCAAGTACTCTCTCTTCCACTGTATGTGTTGGTGTAGACATTACGTATAGCGCGTGCAATACATACAAACGCGATCTTTCCACCCCTAAACAGTTCCCAACACCATCAGTATGCATCTCGAATCACAAACACCGCCCATCCATCTCATCCTCGTGCCTGTGCCATGCCATGCCATGCCATGCCATGCCTATGCCTTTTCCCCTTGCTCTTCTTCTGGGGCACCGTCGCTGGTAGTCGCTGCTCTGGGTGTTGGAACATCATCTTCTATAGGCGCTTCCTCTTCCTTCGGTGGCTCTTTGGCCGCCTCTCCTTCTTCTACTTTTGACTCTTCCCTGAGTTCTTCCTTTTGCTCGTCGGGGTTCTCTTCTGACTGATTTGTAGTCGCCCTTTCTCTTCGCCGTCTTCGTAGCCTTCTCTCTTCCTCTGCTGTTTGCCGTCTGGCTTTTCGAAGGGTTTCTCTCCTCTCGGGATCGTTGTCATCTGCGCCATCACCACCACGCATGCCTTGTAGAAGAGCTGCTGCTCTATCGGCAACGTCGTCTTCACCTTCACGAGGTGATGAGAGGCCGGGGCTGAGCACTTTGCCGTCGTCTTCGGTGGGTTCCTCCTTGTTCTTGAGGCCAGCTTCCACTTCTGGAATTTCGTCGAGGTCAGGAATCTTTTGCCCTGACGCAACGCGGACCTGGTGACGGTCCTTGAGTCGCGCACGCCTTCTTCGGTCTCTCTGGTCCCGAGCTTGCGGCGCAGCTGCACGTAGCTTCTCCAGGAGGGAGTCCATGGCACCGGTATTGGATGGAGACGTGGGTCCTGCCTCGGCGTTGGCGTTGGTAAGTTTGAGTTGTGCTGTGTGCTTCCGTTTCATTGACGCCTCGTTACGCTTCCTTGTCTCTTCCACCTGCACGTTCTTCTCACGGGACTTCTTCCACTCTCCCACGAACAATGCCAGCTTGGCAAAGAAATCTCGGCGGGCACCATCATCTGCGGGGTCCTCGCCGTAAAATACCATGATATCCTTGTATGTCTTCATCATCTCTTCCAAGTACAGCTCCATCTGTTCGGATTTTCTTCTGGCTTCCTTCATAATGCGTTGGGCGATTTGACTCACTCGGTCCTGGGGATGGAACTGCTTGGGGTCGCTTAGGTTACCAGAATCCAACGACATTTGAATGTTTCTAATATTGTCAATGTATTTCTTCGCATCCGCCTGAAGTTGCTCAATGTTGATCTTCTGTGCCGTCATGACTCCGTTGATATCATCTGCAAATGTCTCCCACTCAGGGTACTGGTTCCGTACAATACGCTCCACGAGATCGGCCAATGTTGACTCGTTCTTGTCGTCCTTGACCATACCCAATCTTGCAAGAGAGCTGAGCTTGAAACCGCGTGCTTGCTTGTTCGCATCGTTCATGTAATTACCGATATCCAAAATAAGGCCAAGTACGTTCATCAATGAAACGGAATCGCGTAGCGACTCAGATACTGTAACAACCTGTCGGATCTTCTCGTTAATCTCTTCGTACTCTTGCTCAAAGCTTCTAGTAAGAGCAAGAGCCCTCATTCGACTCTTCCAGTAGTGATGTAACTCAAAAGCCGTGTAGAGGTAAAGCTGATCTTGTCGAGTGAGCTCCGAGGGATCAAGTTCACGGTCTTGAGACTTGGCATCAGGTCCGGTCCAGTCCTTGCTGTACGGTGCCATTTGCTTGACTGTGTTGTCGGGGATATTACAGAGGTCGTCCTTCTGCAAAAAGTCCATCACTACAGTGTTGTCTAGAATTTCTGGATCGCAGTGAATGATCATTTGAACAATCTTTTCGACAGAGTACTGTGAAAACTTGGCAAAAGCAATTTCTGTGTAGTATTAGCAGGTAAAGCAATTGTGCATAAAAGGCTATGCACTTACCATAGGCCTTGCGGAGATCAGAAGAGATGATTTGCTTCTTGTCATCCTTCTTAGAAGAGCTTCCTATACCAATCTTCTTGATCTCCTTGGCCATGAACAGTTTCTCAACCTCGTCGAGAATACCCTTCTTGCTGAGCTCCTGATACTTCTCCTCTCGGGCTTCGGCAGAGGGTGTATGGGCCGCCCAGTGACTGGTCTCAGGGGCATCGACCTTCTCCCAATGCAAGGCCTTGAGCTTCTTCTTGGGGCGAACAACAGGTAGGCCAATGCTTGGTGCAGCCCCGAAAGCGGGTTGTCGCGACAAGTAGTGCCCGGACATAGCACCAGGCAAAGGAGGCGGTGGTGGAGGGGGCATACCTCCAGCACCAGGTAACGGAGGTGGTGGTGGAGGAGGAGGAGGCCCACCACCTGGCATCAGCATGCCAGGCAAGGGGGGCGGAGGCGGAGGGGCACCAGGAATCTGGCCCGGCATAGGGGGGGGCGGAGGCGGAGGCGGCGGCGGCGGAGCTCCGGGTATTTGACCGGGCATCGGAGGAGGTGGAGGTGGCGGCGGAGGCGGAGGAGCAGCACCAGTGACTTCGATTTTGGGAGTTTCGCTATCACCTGGGGGAGTGATGGGTGATGAAGTCTCCATACTAGGGTGAGAAGGACCGGTAGTATCATCTTCAGAATCACTGGCATCGAACTTCTTGACCTTGGAACCAATCTCACCAAGTAAGCCAGCTTGCTGCTTGGGGTCTATCGTAGGTCGCTTCATCTCGACGATTCTGGGCTTCTCGAAGATGACACCATCTTCACCCTCAGTCTCGTCGTCCTCATCGATCACTTCACCATCAGAGCGTCTCTTAAGGGGCTTGCGTGGAATCTTGGTATTGCGGTGGATGCTGCCCAGAACACTGTTGGTGAAGTCCCGAGGAGGCGTACCGCCACCAGGAGGTGTTCCAGGCCTGTCGTCCATCTCTTCGCGCAGGGCTCGAAGACGGTCTGAAGGTCCAACAGCATCTCCCCAAACACGCCCCTCAAGCTTGTATTGTGTCTTCTGCCGCTCGATCTGCATTTGTAACCGTTCCATGAGGCGTTCACGATCCAGGATACCCTGCATACGAGCAGGGTCTTCAGGGCCAGCTGTCTTGCTACTGGCGCTGGCGCTGGCAGCAGCGCTTTTGATAGCCTTGGAAGCAGCTACGTCCTGTGCATCTCGAAGCATCAGGTACAGCTCTCTTGTTTCCAACTCGTATCGCTGGGCTTCCTTGGCTCTCATAGTTTGCATACTATCCAATTCAGCTTTGAGTCCGTCTGCCTGTCTTCTTTGAGCGTCAATGAATCGAGATTGTTCGTCCAATTGCTTTTGTAATTTGGCAACCAGCCCATCAGCACCCAGCTCGAGCTGAGCCTTCATCTCATCACGCTCAGCCATCGCGGCCTCAGCGATTTGTCGCGACTCAAGAGCCTCATCCTGGGCTTGCCTGGCTTCTGAGTCTGTATGCAATTTGTCAAGGAGACTTTGAACCGTGAAGTTGAGACTCTGCTTGAGATCCATGTTCGGCAGTCGCCGATCCATAGCAACGTAGCTAAGCATGGAATCGACCAACTGGAACATGCGTAGTCGCTCCTCGCCATCATTTGCTCGGATGAGCATAAGATGCTGCAGAGCCGAAATGAAGTAGTCGTTGGTCTTGGTGCCGTGAAGACGCTGCTGAATAGCATCGGCAATTTGAACGGGATCAGTCAGATCCTTGACCTCGCCTTCGACATCGTCCTTGATACTGCTATTCTCCCTCTCAAGCATATCCTCATAGTCAATGGCTTCGTTTGTTCTGAACCGTTCAATCTGTTTGTCCAGGAGTTCGTATTGAAACTCCTCCATCTTCGTCAAGATTCGCTTGATACCACATGCTGTAAACTGGGCTCGAATGTGTATCCTCAACTCCAGATCTCTCTCGGGCGAATCGATAATCATGTTGACGAGCATGAGAGTCGCAACGGCGTATTCCATAAGCAAGTTCTCCATTCCAATACCTCCAGTCCTCAATTCTTCGCTGGCACCGACCAAACTTCCCATCTTGCCCCTACCATCAATGGTGACCTCCACCAAACGCATCCAAGCATCAAATCGGCCATTTTCTCCAGATGCGGTCTTAACCTCGTCCAGCGCCTGAATGACCTTCAGATGACCTTCGGCATTCTCTCCCCAGGTGCATAGGAAGGTTATGATCTCGCTGACAAGCTTCCGTGTGGTGAGGCGAGGAGATATAAGAGAGCTAGCAAGGGCTACCATGACCTTTTGGTGAATCAAGGCATCGTCGGCGCCGAATTTGTTGTTCATAAGCGCCTTTACACATTTGATAATATCGTATTCGCGATCAAGGTTCTTGTCGATACGTGTGTTATCCTGGGCTGGCCCCTGTGCTGTCTTGCGGTTGATCTTAAGCAGCAAGGTCATCAGAGCGACCTGTCCCTGACACTCGACGAATCTCTTGACCCAACCAATTTGTTGAGTTCGCAAATTGACCTCCAAACTTCCCATACCTTTCGTGTCAAGGCGATCCTCCATAACTCGCCGCACATACCATTCAGGGGTGCCCTCTTCGTCTGAGTACGTCGTAATATCGGGAGTCGCGGTATACTGGTTCGGGCGTGCTGTTTGTCGGCGCTTCTGCTCACCTTGCCATTCAGTAAGTCGATCCTGATAGAGCAGCGTCCACTTCTTCTGGGCAGGGTAGGCCATCATCTGTCTCCTGGCCTGCTCAGGGAGATTGTGCCATCCTCGCTTCTGCATCAGTTGGAGGAACATCTGCTCGACCACATTATCGTCGTCTGGTTTTGGGAAATAGAAACCACCCTGGGGATCGCTTTGTCCTGGAGGGGGGCCAGACGGAAATTTGGTAAACCGGTGAGAATCGCGGTTCGAGTGCTGAGAAGCAGCATAAGAGCTTTGAGAAGAGGCACTAGGCATAGCTACGTTTGGTGAGCGTGACATCCTTCCATCAATGAAACTTGTCTTACCTGACTGAATGCTCAGATTATCAGCTGAGCCCCGAGCGTTAGATGACATATATGAGTCGTATCGAGGGTTGGGAGGATTATTCGAGTGGGAAGAGCTGCCCCTAGGCGGACCCCATTGCTGATATTGGGTCTGACGGCCCGTTGAAGCCATAGTAACATTGCCATATCCATATCCAAGAGGTTGTCGCCCAGGGGAATGGGCACCAGACTGTGCCGACGTCCCATCCCAGCTCGGGTATTGGTGAAAGTCCAGGCCATTTTTGTTTAGGTGGTGTGGAAGAGGTTCTCGGCGCACTGGCATCTGCTCGCCTTTGGGCAGATACTCGACAGGTATGGGAGAGCGTGATCCACCTCCAACGGCATCGTAGGGTATCGACGTAATTACGCCTGCCATCTGGTTGATCCCGCCATCAGAAGACTCTGGGCGATCCAACGAAATGGCAGACGACTCTCGTTTGTGGCGCGAGGAGCGAAAACTGGCGGCGTCGTCTGCGGGGTATCTCGATTCTTCGGTCAAGCGCTTGTCTTTGTGCTTACTTCGTGAGAATAGAGACCGGCCGCCAGAGGACTGCCTCGTCTTGTCAGACATGGCGACGGCGACGGCGACGGCGGTAGGTGTGACAGAGCGGTCGTGGCCGCGACAGTCGTCGAAGCGGAGGGTTTAGTTTGCGAATCGTATTTCGAAGGTAGTGTTGGTGTTGATCCGGGGTGTACAGTAAGGAAAAAAGGAGGTGCCAGGGTTCGATGAGCCTGGGGAAACGTTTGCCAACGGCTACCAAATTGAACACGTGAAGTTGGCGATGTGCTGGCCCAGGGCCGCTCGCTTCATCGGGGGCACGATATCGCCGTTCAGTAAAATATTGAGGTTATTCGGGGTCCGGAGCGTAAGTCGAATCGGCGGAAGCGCTATGGGCGGTCTTGAAACCTTGATCGTCTGGAGTTTGGTTGAGTGCGAAGAAACCCGCGTAGATAGGGAGGGGGTACAGTAAGGTAAAAGACAAAGAAAAGGCCTAAGCTTGGGCTTTGGATAGATGATGCAAGCGGATTGTTTCAATGAGTGGTGCCAGAATAGAATAAAACAAAATTAATTGAATTGCAAACCGAATTAAGTCGAAATGGTGTGAATAAAGGAGCGTAGCGTATCACTGCACAGCTGCAGTCGGGTGTCGTATAACGTTAGAGTTAGGTAGGTCGTGCAGTGTGGTGTAGCAGTGTACCAGCACCATCCGCAGTAGCCAGCCCAACCCAGAGATGGGAATGACTTGGCTTCCAATGGATGCTTCTATGATCAGGGATCTTGGGACCAAGCCGAGGGCCTATCAAGATGAATGCGGATTGGTTCATTTGTTTATGGGGATTATGGACCTAATATTGCTTAGCCGCCGCTTGAGCTTAGGTTGAAAACGCGAGCAATACCCAAAGCGAGAGACATACTACATATATCTTGATACTCGACAGATAATGTAGTACATTATTATAAAGGTCGCTACAGTTAAATCAGCGAGTACAGGCATGTTGTAATACTACTGAATTTCCTTAGAGATAATGTTATATAGCATGATCATGCATGGATGCTCATTATGCCCAAGCAGCCCTGTGACTGGTCTGAGAGACACTTTTTTAGCATCGACGCCAGGCGGGGAGTTTTCTTTAGCATCAGGAGATCTGCCAGGGGAAGTGGGCTCTGTAGATTGAGGACGCGCAGATGCATGTCAACCTGGATAGAAACCAAGTTGAAGAACTTGGAGCGTAAAGAGAGCCTGGGGATAGCTAAGATAATAGAACCTCTCGTCTTCCTTAGAGTCCCGAGTGACTGAAATCTGTGCATCAGACCCCCCCTCCGCTATTCGTGATACAGCCTCCAAAAACCAAACTGCTCATGACCCAATACCAGAGACTTGGGACATTTGAGTTATCTGTCAGTGAGGAGTCGCACAATCAAAGTCGTACTTGGATCAATATTATTTCATTGTGATATGCTGTAATGAAGGCATATGAGGTCTACCAGCTGCAAACCAATCTCATCATCGTATAAATGGTTCATGGCTATTCTTAGTTGAGGTTTTCAGCTGCGCCAACGTGTAACAATCCTCGAACGATGAGATCAGTTACACGACCATTCATTTTAACTTGGGACCAAAAACAAGTGCCAGTCTCTTCTTTATCAAAGTATCAATCTTTCAGAAGCTGAAGCAATAATTACTCATAGAATCACGCATTTGTCTCAAGTTCCCTACTGCCACTCTGTGAGCATCTCTATCCTTCGTCTCAGGAAGATCAGGACCCATCCATGTCCGTCCCCTACTATCTCAAGACAAAAGATCTTTCTCTTTATTTTATCCTTGATTCTTAAGCGAGGTCGGCTGTCTCAAATTCCCCATTCCGTTCACTGCCAGTTTCTGATTGCCGTATGTCAGTGGATGAATGGTTGAGATAGCATACGATGGTGACGTGTCCCATGAAGATGGAAGATTATGCACAGGTGAACAGCGATACGCTAAATTAATGGTGTGCTGAAATGCCGATGATCGAGATAATGCAGTAATGTGAGGTTACGATGGATTGGGTATTTAATGCAAGAGAGCTGAAAGATACCTACCTACCTCTAGGCTTTTAGGTTGGTATGTAGGTAGACAGGGAATTATTAATAACTAAGCCAAGATCCCATGTGAAAACTGTCCTCCCTCAAGGAATTGTGGAAATATGTATTGCTGATTATTGAGATCGTTCTAGAAAAATATTGACATGGCCGTTAGTGATGATGGACACTCTATCCCCCCTGCAGGTCTGAACGCTTCTGTTGGTCCCCCCCCCTTTAGCGGGATCTTCGGCGTCGTCACCTCCCGCTGGGCCCTTGTGGCTTCAGCCACGTTTCCCGCTGTAGCCTCAGGGCGATCACGGCAACCTCCAGCTTCAACATCGTGACATTTTCGGCCTCGAAACTTGCTGAGCCGGACTCCAGGACTGTCGCTTTAGATTCCGATATATAGAACATGGGCGCCACCATGTCCGTTATCAAGGTAACATACACATCATGACAACTTGCTCCTATACTCCTCTCCTACTGACATCCACATGATCGCTGCTAGACGCTCATTGTTCCCGCCGTCATCTCCTTGATACTCTTCATCCTCCTCACTTACGTCCTCATTCCCCTCTGGCGCCGATATGCCCGCTACAGCCAGTACCTACCTCTCGACACACTCTCTTCTCAAACATCGTCTCTGCGACAGCGCATAACGTCCCGGATGGCCACTTGGCGCTCTAATCGCGGCGTCGCATTCGCATCCGAGGACGTCTCCGATGATGGGCTGGAAGACGATGATGGAGAGGAACTTGGGAACGTCGACGAGGATACGTGGCGCCAGATGGAGGCTGATACTCGTGCTGCTCGGCCAGACAACACCAGGCGATTAAGTAGAGAGTAAGTGTTGCTGTTTAGCAACCTAGAACCTTTATTACACATCCCCATCTACAACAGTGACTGACATCATGTTTGCAGTCTTGAAGAGGGTTTCAGGGACGATAGCGACGATGAGCCAGACCGTCTTGCAAGGAATAATTTTAGGTCATAATATTACAATTCAATACCTTTCTTGCATCTTTCGGATTCATAAAATACTTTGCATATATGGATGGATATTCAGCAGAACACATCTCTGAAGCGACAGAAGAAATAGTCAATTATATTTAAAGTTTTGAAATGCTTAAATTAATTTAGGAGAAAGTATATGTATTTCAGCACACCTTCAAGTTAGTAGTTGTATTAATATCATTTCTCGAGTTAATCTAAGTATTTTAGTAATACTGAACAACTCCCACGCACATAGTATTTTCCAGTGATAGAACATGACGTGCAGCTTATTATACGACAGTATTCATCATCATCACATGTGATTTTGAAGCAACAGGTTGATATTCATTTATCGCTTGTACCGCTATCTACCTCAATCATTAGAAATCATATCGCTAAAACTATATCGCTCTTCATCCAAGATTCCAAAATCGCACACAGTTTCAAGGGCACAGCCAACAAAAAAAGATACAGCCATTCTTCGAAAGTGAAATAGAAATAACCTGATCCTTCATGCCACCCCCCATAGCCAAGTCCTCCTCACGAGACAGAAGCTAGAATGTGATCATGAGGCTGCTGGCTGAGCAACTTTCTTTTTCCCCTCTGCCTTCGACTCTGTTTCTTTGGCCGACTTCTTTGGAACATCCTTCGGTGGATCAGGGAGAGCCACTGGTTTCTCGGGTTCCTCCTCAGTCATATCTCCCATTCTAGCCATTGTATCTCGGTGGTGGTGAAGGCAGCCACCTAGACCCACAATTCGTGACTTCCGGCCTTTACCTTACATCACGTTCGTCTACAGAGTACATCCATAACAATCCCGGTTTACTTGCACCATTTCTATCATCGCGACTCCTAAAGATGCGTTTTCGTACAGAGCTGAAAAATATTCGCACATTCTCAAGTAAGTCCTTCTACACACATTCCTGAGTCTTTCTATCACTCTTGCTTTTCTCGGGTACGTTTTGCTAATCCTGATCACAGAGCTTACAGCTGCACTTGGCTCTCTTGAGAAGATTGCCTGGTTGCGCTTGAGCGATGATACTGCACGATTCACCGTCATCCCAGACATGGGATCTCAAGTATGGGCGTATGTATTCTTCCTTCTCAAGCTATGTAATTGCTTATAAATCTCAAGGTCTCTTGCCATGGACTTCATCTTTGATGGCTATCACATTCAGTCCGCCGAGGCAGGTAATACTATTAACTTGGAGCTTCCTCTTCAACCACTTCAACGCGCCCTCAAGTCTGCGCTTAACAGTATCTCTGCTTCCCTACGCCTCACAAAGAAAGACGGTCTGCCAGTTCTTTCGATGACTATCACAACGACTACGTCAGCTACCAACCCAGCTGGGGCCGCGAAACCTTCAGGAACAGCCGCTGGTGACGACCCATTCGATGACGACGAAATGTTTCAGGCAGAGCACCTCGAGACTTCATTGAGACGAGAGCATGAGAAGATCATCACGCAGGACATACCCGTGCGTGTCCTTCATCCCGAAACAGTTGAGACTATCATGCAGCCTCGAGTACGAGAACCAGATGTCCACATTCAACTGCCCCCTCTTCTTCAGCTCAAGGCCATCTCAGACCGCTTCACCAAGCTTGCTATGGCCTCTAATTCTGGCTCTTCTGCTCATACGAAATCCCCAAAACTTGAGCTTAGCGCCAACATGCACGGTGGTCTACGACTACGGATCGCAACCGAGACTACAGATATCTGTAGTGTGTGGTCTAATCTCGAAAACCCAGAGCTTGACCCCGCACAGCTCGATTGTCCCGTGGAGGAGCATCCAAGTACGAAGTTTCGAGCAGGCGGTCCCAATCATTGGGCGACTGTACGTGTCGATGGTAAGGACTGGAGCCGTGTCCTTAGTGTTGGTCGCTTGGAAGGCAGGGTCATTGCCTGTTTTGCTGACGACCATGCGTTAATCCTCTACGTCTATGTGCCCCAGTACGATGATGCTACAGCGGATGACTCTGTCGTGACAGTGAGTTTGCCCTGTGTTTGCCCTCAACCCCGTCAATTGTGTGCTAACAATGCCAGTACTATGTACAGTCATATAGTATGTGAAACACATCAAGATGAATGATGAACTTTCATGTTTCGGGCGTTGGAGCTGGGTAGCGATTTCTAGAACGGATTTTTGGCATTGAGTTGGGCGTTCGGTCAAAAGTGTATGTCTGTCAAAGCACGCAGTAATCAAAAAAATCAACGGTAGAATTCTTCATCGTATTATCGTTCTTTGTCAAATACCTCCTCGAGTCGTAATCATGTCTCGATGGTAGCATTAGGGTCTATTCTCTTCCTGATCCAAAGCATTACAACTCGTCCGCTTCCTCAATTCTTTGTGTACAGTCGCTGTTATAGCCCCAGGCCAGCGCTCCTACAATTCAAACCATCGCAGAAATACAAGACGCAACAATATTCTAACTATTAATACATATTGATTCGTTCCTAGCACGAATCCCCACAAGAACGCCAGAAATTGACTTGGTATTTCAAATCCAAACGAATATGACACTTATTCGTGCCTTACTTGGCCATGACATCGACATATCGACCACCCTTTCGTGGCTTCTTCTTGTCACTAGCTTTGCGAGGCGCCACGCTGAGTAAATCGTCGATGCTGCTCGCATTGCTCATGCTTGTCGTTGGCCGACTGGGTGGTGCGCTGGCATTGCTAGTGTTGGAAACGGATCGAGCCATAGCAGGGGGTGCAAGGCCCAGGCTCTCCGTCGATGCCTGCTTGGACAGTTCTGGTGTTCCAGCTCGAACTTTGGGGGGCATGAGGGGTGGCGGCGCACTATTGCTCGTAACCAAAGGTGGTGGAGGAGTGCCAGTGGGAGGCGGGGGAGTTCCAGAGACAGAGCGAGGGCCAGCCTTGGGGGGAGGAGGTGTAGCAGTCTTGGCTGGTGTGTTCTCGGCGCCTGGCTTCTTATTAACCCATCGCTTTAGTTCAGGGTCGTATACAAAGCTGCTGGCCTCACCCAGCTTCGCCCGGATGGGCTTGCCAGGAGAAGAGTCACCAGATGAGGTCTGCTCAAGGGGCGCTTTCTTGCTACCTCCGAACCAGCCACCGAAACCCCAGCCCTTCTTGGACGACTGTTGGGCAGCTGCACGCTTTGCTGTTAAACTTGTTAGCCATGTATCATATCGATGGGAAAGCTAAACTCACCATCCTCCTCGGCAGCCTTACGGAACATCTCGTCGTTCTCCCTGTCCTTCTCCGCCTTGGACTTCTCGGTGGGTTTCATGGAAGGGAAGTCGTCTTCGTCATCATCCATGAAACTCTTCTTCTTAGGTTTGGGCTGCTCATCGTCATCCTCAGCAGTGGACTGGGGCTCATATGATGGAGGCTCATAACCGTAAGGCTGGAATGAAGGCGGCTCGTAGCCGCCATTACCACTCTCTCCAGTATTGTGCTCACTTGCCTGCTCAGGTGGGTTTGAGGACATTTGGGGCGGCTCGTATCCGTAACTGAGAGGCTGGAACCCCTGTGACGAACTATCGGCAGGCTTCTCATCTTTGCCCATTGGTGTCGATGCTGGCATTCCATAGGGCTGGTATCCAGCAGGAGAGTAACCCTGCGTAATTTGAGCAGCTGGTGCAAGGCCTGCCGGTCCACCAAGGCCAGCACTGGTCGGCTCAGACTGAGGAACGGACGGGGTGTAGCCTTCACCTCGGTCAGCCGAGGCAGCACCAGGGTAGGAAGGTTCGTATGAGTTAGGGGCATATTCGGTAGAACTTCGTCCAGGTGTGTACTGAGATGTGGGAGAGTAAAGGTTCGCGGAAGCAGCGGGCGTCGAAATATTCGGCGCGTATTTGGATGCTGCAATGCTTGCCGATGGTTGAGCAGGTGTCATGCCGAAGCTAGGTGACTGCTGACCGTAGACGTCAAAGTTAGAAACCGAAGGCGAACGACTAAACTCTCCAGAGGGGCGGTTAAACGGTCCTGCCTCCCCAGTACCTCCATTGTTCTCCTCGTTGTCATCACCTGCGACGAACTTATTGAATCGGTTCCACATGCTATCCGAGACCTTGTTCATGCTTGGCTTGGAAATCCATGAGCCACTCTCCTCCTTCGGCGCTTGCTTCAGTCTCGACATGAAGTCTTCAACAGCGGTCTCGAGAACATGATGATGGTATGGCGATCGCTTAGTTTGGGAGGACATTGCCGTCAAGATGGCGTCGCAGTACTGCATTGCCTTGTCCCGGTGGCCATACTCAGCAAGCGTCATTGCATGTTCGAGCTTGTAGGCAGCAAGATGAGGTGTGCCTGCGGCTGCAAGAGCTCCTCCTGCAAGAGATAGGCCATACTCATAGACCTCGCTGAGCTGGAGTGCCTCTGTTTCCTTGGCAAACTGGTCAGACTGTTGCCTATGATCAGCTCCAATGAGCACGAAGTTGGCGTTGGGGTCGTCAAGACCACCGAAAATAGACGCATGGCGGCCAAAGATGAAGCAAATGTGGGCTGCCTCAGCTCGCCCATAGCTAGAGAGCAGATTTCCGAGGGCATTCAATCCCTGGATATCATCGGTGCTTCGGTTGCTCAAGACAAGAGAAAGAGTCTCTCTCCACTTGTCCAATCCGTCGAGTGTATCCTTGGTAGGTCCTGAGCCCCCGCCAGTGGACATCAGTTGAAGACCAGCCCGAGCATGGACAGGAACTAATTCATCCACGCAATCTTCGAGGTTTCCAGAAAGAATCTTGTACAGTGCAGCCATAGACTCGTTGGCGTGACCAGGGTAGTTAACTTCTTTGCGAACGAATTCCTGTGCCACGCGTTTGTAGAGATCGCCTTCCACGGTATGTGAGATCAGCATGGCGTGACCCCATAGTCGTTTATCAACCAGAGCCCAAACAGCCTTGTCTCGATCGCCCCTCAGAAGATGATGACGAATTTGATCCATGGATGAGACATCGACACCATCGGCTTGCATTGAGGTAACCGAGGGTACTCCTGTGTCAAAACTAGCAGCGGCAGGGAAAAGCGCATCATCACGTGCAGACGATGTGTTTTCACCAGGCGAGAGGACATCTCGAACAGCTGCCTCCACAGTAGGGTTACCTTCCAGTATTCCATCGTTCTCGATGAAGATACGCATAATCTTCCATAGGAGTAGACGCTCGACAGCTCTCTTTGCCTCGAGAGAGAGTTGGGAGTGAAAAGAGACATCAGGAAGATCTTTTTCGAGTAGCTCAATTCCAGCACTGAGCCATCCGATGGTCTCTTTCTTCTTTGATTTGCCCCTGAGAGGACCTGGGAATTTAGCCACATGCTCGTGCAGCGGCTCAATGTCCTTAACACTCTGGACCTTGACTTCCCCTGGTGTTCGTACAACCATCGGAACAGTCTGGTTTATGCCATACCGAGGAACGCTCTTGGGGAAAGAGGTAACGACAGTACCGCCAACGCCCCATGAGATGATAGGCACTCCTTTCCATCGCTGAAGCTCATCATGCTCCCGCCCATCAGTGGGCGCAACCATGTTCATTGTGATAGACTGGCCGCGAGTACGGACAGTTGAGATACCAGGGGCTGGGGCCATCGGAGCAGTGGGAGCCACTGGAGCATAAGGTGAAGGGGCTGGCTTTGCGCCTACTGGAGAAGGATAGGAGTGTGAGTGGGCAGACGAAGGTCGGCGTGCTGAGTCTGAGGACCTCTGAGCCTGCTTATGGCCGAAGGATGCGCTTGGCGATTGCGTCTGAGCGCGAGGAGGTGGTACAAAGCCAGCCTGCGCTGTTGGCGGGGCATGGGGCGCATATGGACCCGATTGCTTGGGAGGCGAGAGGGTAAGTTGGCCAGCATAGCTTGGAGGGGGTGGTGTCTGTGTGGACTTTGGAGGAGATGCAGGGTTATATCTCGAATCATGATGAGGTATGGCATGAGTAGCGCTCGCAGATCTAGTGGGAGTCTGTTGCTCATCCTCCTCATCTACCTCACGTGTGGGTGGCAGAGACGAAACTCGGCTCATCCTTGGCTCAAAGTGAGCACTCTCAGAATGGGTCAACGGGCTTGATGTCCTAGGCTGATGTGGGAGCACAGGTCCGGGGCCAGAAGTTGCCACGGCTCCGTAAGAACCGTGGCTCTTGGGGACGGGAGGTGCTGGTGAATAACGACTGCTTGCAGGAGCCGGCGGGGCAGTATGGCTTGTACCAGGTGCAGGAGAATACCGAGAAGCGCTTGTCGAGGCGGGCGGAGGCATGTGGTTGGCAGAAGTGGTCAGGGCAGCATAAGGACTGACTCTCTCAGGCGCAACCAGGCCAGCGCCTGGAACAAGAGCCGGCTGGCTGGGGGGCTCGCTGTACGATTCACCAGGTGTGACCGCCGTAGTTGGCAGAGGTGGTGGAGCCATATGGTTTGGCGCCGCGGGTGCTAATGGTGAAGGGATATGTGGTGCGTGAGCCATTGGGGGCGCATTTCGCGCGGGAGATAGGGCCCTCTGGCTTGTCCGTGAACTAGGCCGTGGTCTAGATGTCATGGGCAACTCCTCAAAGAAGTTCTCCTTGTGTTGCGCACCAGGAGTTGTGGGTTTGGGAGGTGCTGTAGATTGTTGGTGGCTAGGCAGGCCATGGCTAGAGGAAGGAGGAGTGAGTCTCGTTGGGGGAGCCGGCATGCCAACGCTTGCACTTCTAGGCGGGGGTTGAACCGGAGCATGAAGCTGATTAGCTTGAGAAAGCTGTTGCATGCTCGCCCTCTTTCGAGGCTTCACCAGGTTGGTGACAAGATCAGTAGGCAGGTCATACGGTGAGTGGTAACCTCCCTTTGACTTATCCGCGAAGCTTTGCGCCTTGGACATATCAGGACGTGCTGGCGGAGGCTGGCCGTATTGAGGAGCTGTACCGAAAGGTGTTACGACAGGTGCTGGAGTATTATATGCCGAGGTTTGGGGAGCAGCAGCCGCGGAAACTTGCATGCTGGGAGCATACGGAGATGGCGCTGGGTGAGTAGCTGGTACCTGCGGCATATAGGGATTGGAGCCAGAAGGTTGACGTGAGGTAGGGGCAGGCGCCGAAGCTGGAGCTGGAGCTGGAGCTGGCTCCTCATCCTCCAAGAAACCTTCATCATCGCTTCCAAAGAAGGCAGCTGGGTCAACTTGCTTGTCATCTCCCGCATTCTCTTCAAGCAGAAAATCGTCATCTTCGTCATCGGCGAAAGCTTGTTCCCATTTTGATGCAAGGTCTTCCTTCTTAGCTGGGGAGGAGTCGGGTGCCGCAGGAGCTGGGTCGGATGAAGCAGGTGTTGGCGCAGGCTGCGCTGCCTTTTTGTCCTCCTCGCTGTCTTCATCGCTATCCTCGTCATCATCACTGCTGTCGTCCTCCTCCTCCTCCTCCTCCTCCTCGTCTTCCTCTTCCTCTTCGGGGGTTCCCTCAAGTGCAGACTTGTTCGAGATGGCGCCTGCGTTCATGGAATCCAAAACCTGCATTGTCGATTTTCGTTCCAAAGCAGGGGCAGGTTTCTCATCAGATGCCGGCTCGGAGCCTTGAACTTGACTGAAGAAATCATCGCCTTCCACGGTTTCATCGTCGAACGAGTCGCTTAAAGTGTGGTTTGGTT